TAAAATGGCGCTTTGGGCCTGAATATTGCAATATTTCCGGTTACCAGACGAACCCTTAAACAACTTATTGTTTGAACTCTCATGTTCTGGTATATCGTATTTCAGCGCCATGGTCATTGCTATAATATCGTAGTACCTCTGGATGAGGCATTGCACTAAATATGTCGAAAACAAACATAGGGGAATTGGACATTCCAGTGTACGATCAAAAGTACGTTCATTTCAAAGACGTCCCGCGTGCGCTCGTACAGCGTGTGTTGGCAGAGGTACAACGATATGCAATTGCGATTTTGAGCGCTTCTGACACGAACGATTGTATCAGGGCAACCGCGAAAAGCACGCTGAAATCACCCAAGTCATGGAACGACTTGGGGCCAACAAACAGTTTGACGAAATGTGGTTTCGAAACCATGGCAAGCGACACCAAGCCAACCTCCTGCAACTCAACAAGTCGCATGTCAAGGAATATACAGCGTCGATTGTCATCCACCGGTTCCTCGCGCGCCTTCGACTCAACCGGGCGCGAAACCTATCAAAGCGAAATCTTCGACGGGCGGCGTTCTCGCCGCCCATTGAAGAGGAAAACGATGGCCCGGAGATCCTTGTACCAGTGAGGGGTCGTCCAACATTGATCCTGCCTCAATCTGGTTCAGCATTGCCGTCACTGGAACGGCCAGTACTACACAAGGCATGTGGACTTACCGTGTCGACTCAAACAGACTTTTCAACCGCGTTGCTACCAACCGCCCATGGCGGTTTGCCAATTACTACTGACCAGGCGTTGTCGTCTCCGACTGAAGCAGACGTCCGCTTGGCGTCAACGGGTTTGTTCACCATGGTGAACGAACTGACATTGCCCATCCCAGCCAACTTTTCACCTCAGACCTCGCTTCCCGGCCGAGCCACCGGAGTGGCTACTGGAGGGCCACCGATGTATCCACCAGGTCCGGAACTGTCAATGCTCACTGTACCACATGGTCCGCCTATGGCATTAAACCATGTTTTGTCCTCGCCAACTAAAGCAGACGTCTCATCGCTCCCGTCTCCAGATTTCACAGCACCTATCGATGCAACCGATCCCCTGTCGCCTCCGACAGAAACCAATTTATTCCCTGGGGGCCCTGCAGTTGCAGATACTGCTCGGCCGCCGCACGATACCACATCCACACCCCAAACCCCTCCGCATGTGGCCCACCCTCCTTGCGAACCCCCATCACCTTCAAGCGCCTCTGCGCAACAATAATTAATAATTTAACTTTCGTTTTTATGTGGCCGGACGGTTTGTTGCGATGAAATGCACGTGGCAAAGCCAGCCTAGACTTTGCAGCATCCGCCGCTTACGTTGCTGACAATACTGTCAGTATTGGAAGTGTGACAGGTGCCTGGGTGGGATTATACACACTTGAAATGATGTGTTGGATGGGTTACTTTCCATGTATCCTGGAGAGCCCTTGCCATGTAAAAGTATGTTAAGACCTATATTTATCGACATCGACAAGCAGCAGAATCGGTTTCAGGAGTTTCATTTCAGCCTTTGACCCCGCCAACACCAAACAGACTCCCCCGCGTGGTCAGTGTGCACACGTCCATATGGAGACATCCGAGCGACAAGACAGTGCTGTCAAGCTCAAGCACAGAAAGGTATGGCTTTTTCGTATCCCCAAACCCTTGACTCATGCAATCTGCGATGATCCGTCAGTTTCAACGGATGGCCTTGGGCTGCCTCACAACAAAACATCCCATACGACGGACTTGCATCCGAATAGTCACGTGGAAGTGGTTTGATCGGTTCATCGTGTTCTGCGTCATCTTCAACACGGTGATTCTGGGCTTGACAGACTACACAGACGCATGGGCGGACGGACCCAACAACACGATCTGGATAAACTGGTTCATTGATAGCTGCAACGGCGTCAGCTTTTACATCTTCCTCGCCGAAGCCACGTTCAAGATCATCGCGATGGGGTTCTGTTTTGGCCAGCGCGCGTACCTAAGCGAAGGCTGGAACCGACTCGACTTTGTCATCGTTTCGTCAGGGTATGCAGCAAACTTAAATTCGCAGGGATGTTGACTGGTTATACTAGGTTCTTGTCCATCTTGAACATCAAAGGCATCAAAGTTGGGTTCATTCGGGTACTTCGCGTGATGCGGCCCCTACGCACACTTCACTCTCTGCCTGGTGAGTCCTTCGTCGTTCTCCACACAACCCAACGACTGACATGTGTCTGAGCAGGCCTGAAAGTCCTGACGAATTCGTTGCTGGCCAGTTTACCAGCCCTCGGGAATGTGTTTGTGTTGCTCATGTTTTGCATGCTTGTGTTTGGCATCCTTGGCATGGAAATCTATCGAGGCGCGTACCACTTTCGGTGTCGGGTGACGCCCTACCCCGTCGTGTTGCCGCCCAACGGCACGTTCAACTACCCCCCGAATGCGTCGTACATTTCGCTAGTCCAGCAGTCCCCCGACCAGTTCCAGTGCCTCTTTCCCAACGGCACGCAAATATCTAAACTCAACGACGTATGGGATGAGCCCTTGGATTGTTTTTGGCCCGTGGATGCCTCGGAAGTTATCCCTATGGTGTGCAATCAAGAGCTTGACACAGGTCGACAATGCCAAGGCAACACAGTGTGTGGCTCCAACTTCGACGAACGGGGCAACCCGCGCTTCAAGTACCTCCTTCAGCCGCCTTGGAACGGCAACATCAACGACGACGCGCTATTTAATTCCAACTTGAACTACGGGCTTGCAAGCTTCGACAACCTTGGTCGTGCGTGGCTGATCTTACTCCAAACGATCACAGCGTCGGGGTGGATGGTGCTCACACAAACGGTAATCGATCCCATCCATGATATCTGTTAGGTCATGCCTTATTGTAGACTCAAAACACAGCCAGCCCCGTGGTCGCGGGCATCTACTTTACTGCGCTCATGTACATTGGGATGTGCTTTTTGCTGCAACTCAACATGGCCGTGCTGTTTACCGAATTTGAAAAGGCCAAAGACCTGCAAGCCAAAAAACTGCGCGAGGACATGTAAGAGCCAAAACCCATTTTACTTGCAACGCTCACCTACGTTATATCTGTGTGGATGCTACGTGTAGTGGAAGGCAAAGCCTCATGCTTGCCAAGATGCCATCGATAAACAGACACAGCATGCGCTTATTCAAACCCGCCGATCTTTTCACGCGCGTGAGCACGGTGGCTGTCCGCCGGGGGGATGTCATAGTGCAAAGTGCGATTGGCCGCCAATTTCTGCACTTGCGCGCGGAGATTCTGAAAATCGTCGTGTCCCGAGAGTTTATCAACTTTGGGCTCGTGGTGACCGTCTCCAACATTTTGGTGCTGTCGCTCGACTTTCACGGCATCGACGTTGCCACGAAGAACAATTACGAGACGGCGAATTTCATGTTTATGCTGTATTTTGGCGTCGAATCGTTGCTCAAGATTGTCGGCCTCGGGCTGCGGCGGTTTTGGGCGTACGATACATCACGTTTTAAAGAGGACTTAGTCGTTACCTCATGGTGTTGTTGTTCTTGTAGGGATAAGTTCAATCGGTTCGACCTGCTGACGTTTTTTCTGGGGGTGGTGGAAGCGGCTATCAGCCCGCCGTCGTTTATGGATGGCACACCGGGGGGGAGCGGCATTTTCACCGCGTTTCGGGCCGCAAGGGCATTCAAATTGGCGCGGATGTGGGAATCGCTCAACCAGTTGCTCACCGCTATCTTCAACTCGTTGAGCGAAATCCTCAACTTTTTGCTGTTTCTGCTGCTGTTCATGTTGATCTTTAGCCTCCTGGGGATGGAGGTACGACAGTGCTGTTACGCAGTACTACTACTGGTTGTACGTCTCTGACGTTTGTTGTTATAGTTATTCGCCACTCATTATCAATTCGACCCCAACAATTACCACATGCCGTTCAACAACACGAACCCGCAAACGAGGCTGCATCGGTCCAACTTTGACTCAATCGTGTGGGCCGCGTTCACCGTGTTTCAAATCTTGTCCTATGACAACTTTCCCGCCGTCATGTACGACGGATGGATCTCCGTGGGCGCATGGGCCCCCATTTACGTATCCCTGGTGATCATTCTCGGCGTGTTTGTGGTCATGAACATGTTTTCAGCGATTCTCGTGCAAGCCGTGATGAAAGGCAACACGAACGACGACGACAATGACGACGATATTGACTCGATGATTCTCGACAGCAAACATATGGACGGCGGCATGCGCACCAAATCCACGCGGATTCTACGACGCGTGATGGACCAACTGGCGCGGCTTCAGTTCCCCCCTCCCCCCACGTCCCTGGCCAACGACGACGACGCACCAAAACGACCTGTGTACTTAGGGCGATCCTTGTTTTTGTTTGCCGAAACCAACCCCTTGCGGCGCCTCTGTACGGCGCTCCTCCAACGCCGCGAGTACACGTGGGCGATGAGCGTCATAATTTTCATCTCGTGTGTCGACACCGCGTTGGATTCGCCCCTCCTCGATCCGAATTCGAGTCTGGGGACCTTGCTCGATCAAGTCAACTTGCTGTTTGCGGTGCTGTTTTCCGTGGAAATGGCCATCAACGTCGTGTCCCGCGGACTTTTCATTGGCCGGGACGCGTTTGTCAAGGACTGGTGGCGCGTCCTCGACGGGTTTATCGTGACCGTGTCGATTCTGCCCTACTGTTTTGGCAACTTGAACAAGGACGCGCTCACGGGTTTGCGGTCCCTGCGCGCGTTCCGGGCACTGCGCCCCCTGCGCGTGATCAACAACATCCCGTCCCTCAAAGTCGTCGTGAACACGTTGTTTCGATGCATCCCCGACGTCGGCCGCGCGCTGCTCTTCTTCTTCTTCATGCTGTTTCTGTTTGGCCTCATGTCCCTCGCGTTGTTCAAAGGTGCGCTCAACACGTGCTCTGTGAGTCCGTACAACTATGGCCTCGGGACCGGCACCCCCGTCAACCCCCCGTGGTTCCCCACGGATTACACCGGCGACTTCAACATTGTCAATGTGACAGTGTTGGAGGAGCTGGATGTGATGACGTTTCCGCGACCGTGGACCAAGTTGACGGACCCCCAAAAGGATGCCATACGACCCGTGTGGAACCAGCCGGGTTGCGGCCCCTTTGCCGACGATGACACCCCGACGTCTCGTGACATTTGCCTGTGTTTTGCCCGCCAAAATGGCACGTCGTGGAACCCCCAGACCCCCCAACGCTTTGACAATATCTTTTACGCTATCACGGGATTGTTCGAGCTCACGACCATGGAGGGGTGGACATCGGTGGCGTTGGCATGCATCGATGCCGTGGGGGAAAACATGCAGCCGATTGCAAACTTCAACCCGGCGTTTATGATTTATTGGTGGATCTTTATCATCATTTGCGCGTTCTTCATCACGGGGTTATTCATCGGGGTGTTGTGCGACAGCTTTGCAAGGGAAACGTACGGGTCGCTGGTCACGGACGAGCAGATTCAGTGGATCAAACTCCAAAACAAAGTGCTGGCCATGTCGCCCCAGCACGTGTTTCCGTGCCCGACGCACCCGGTCCGCCGCGCCGCGTTTGTCGTCTGCACATACGGTTACTTCGAGCACTTTATCACGTTTGTGATTCTGCTCAACACGGCGTGCATGGCGGTACAAGTGTTTGGGCAGAGCGTCGCGACCGAGACCGCCCTCAATGCCCTCAACTCGATTTGCTCGGTGATCTTCATCTTTGAAGCTGCCGCCAAGTTGGCCAGCTACGCGATAGGGTACTTTGAGGATGGCTGGAATCGCTTTGACATTGTGATTGTGCTCCTCACGATTGTGAGTTTGATCTTGCAAGCGTTCAGCATCGACGTCGGGTCGGCCGCGTCGGTTATTCGCGTGTTCCGAGTTGGCCGCGCCTTGCGCCTCATAAAAAAGGCCAAGATCATGAAGAACCTGTTTGACACGCTCATTGTATCGCTGCCAGCTGTCGTGAACGTGGTGAGTTTGCTCAGCTTGCTGTACTACATCTTTGCGGCCGTGGCCGTCCAATTGTTTGCCAAAACCGGGTTCGACGGCAACATGATCAACGAAAATCAAAGTTTCCAGAACTTTTGGACGGCGTTTCAAACTCTGATTGGGTTTTCCACGGGTGAAAATTGGGACAACTTTACGTGGGAAGTGTACAACCAAGTACCAGCCACCAACCCGACGTGCGAAGATCGATCATACAATGCGAGCATGTGCGGCTTCAACGACACGTACGGGTGCGTCCCCCTGGACGGGTGCGGGAGCGGCATGATCTTGCCGTTCATGTACTTCTTCTTCTTGGTCATGGGGTACATTGGGATCAATTTGTTTTCGGGGATTGTCGTTGACGCCATCGGCGACGCATCCAACGATAGCCGCGTGAACGTCAACACGCTGGCGGAATTTTCCGACCGGTGGGCACAATTCGATCCGTCGGGGTCGGGGCTCATCACGGCCGACGAACTCACCGACTTTTTGTACACCGTGTACCCACCGTTTGGATTCAAGGGTGTGCCAGGGTTTACCCGTCGAAAGGTCGCCATTGTAATGGGTACGTACAGCCGACATTGCATTTGCCTGCCGTTCAACCTGATATATATATATATATATATATCACATGTTGCCGTGCGTATCATATGTTTTTGTGATTTTGAGATATATCGTTTTCTGTATAAGTACATCCCAAATTGCAATTAATGTCAAATATGATATATATAACTTTGCCACGCCTATCACATTTCTGATAAAGCATTCTCGGTTGCCGTATCCATAGGAGATTTGGGGATACCTATCTACGACAAGATCTATGTGCACTTCAAGGATGTTCCCCGTGCGCTCGTGCAGCGTGTGTTGGCCGAGGTACTGTCACCATTCGTCAAGGCACAGTGCATTATTCACGTCAATTTATAACGTAGGGCGATCGGGCAAAGCATGCCGAAATCACGCGGATCATGGAGCAACTGGGGATCAACAAGCATTTCGACGAGATGTGGTTTCGGTCGCATGGCAAGAAGCACCAGAATACGCTGATCCACCGCCAGCAAGTCACCGCGCGAGAATATTCCGCCACGTTGGTGATCCAGCGATTCTTTGAAAAGGTCAAGCTGGAACGGCAGCGGAGGCGTAACTTGGCCCGTATCCACACATACGGCACCGACATAACCGAGCAAACCCTCAACGTCGGTCGTGCAGTGGTCGCACGAGACATGGATGTCGAGTCCGTGGAAGCAAACGAGCGGCTGGACGAAGCTGCCGCCTCTGCGATGGGTGTGGCCCTTGACGCAGCGGGGGGGGAAGAGGGGACGGCGGTGGTAGCACCTGATATTCAAGTGGAAGGAGAGACGGCACAACTGCAATATCAAGGGGGAAGCGATGTGCTGGACAAGAGCAACACCAAAGAACGTGAAGCCAACAACTTGGTCGATGGCTGAACGCAGCTGATATTGAAATAGCTGACAGGATAAGTAATTTATACACGCGCGCGACAGCGTGCGCCGCCTTTTGAACGACGATGAATTGATATGAGTCAAGAGAGTTGAGAGTTGATTGCCATTGTAAGTTAACATGCCACAAGCATCCCAAGGCTATCAAAGTACAATTGCAAATAAACATTGTTTTCGACTTTGCTGTTGTAGCGCACAAGGCACGTATACAATTGACCGTTGATACTTCCAACGAGTACCTACCTCTACGTCCAAGTCACCATTTGTAGCAACTCGAGGGTTTTTTCCTGCGTCAACTTGAAACGAGGTTGCCGTTTCAGCAGGATGACGTTTCAGGTCGAAACTACTTCACCAGCACCATCGACAGGTCAGCAGCGCCAACAGACAAGTGACGCCTCTGCATCCATGTCGACGGTCGACAAGGACAACCCTGACAAGCCAGATGGCGATGGGCATGTCCACAAAAAGGTACATTACACCCACTCCTCAACGTTTCTAGAACTTAGAATCGACTAGTTCCAGAGGATATCGCTCGGCTGCCTCACGACAAAGAACCCGATCCGACGGATATGCATCCGAATAGTGTCGTGGAAGTGGTTTGATCGGTTCATCGTGTTCTGTGTCATATTCAACACGATCATTCTGGGCCTGACAGACTACACCGACGCGTGGGTGGACGGCCCCAACAGCACCATCTGGATCAACTGGTTCATTGACAAGTGCAATTACGTGAGCTTTTACATCTTTCTCGCCGAGGCCACGTTCAAAGTCATCGCGATGGGGTTCTGTTTCGGCGAGCGCGCATACTTTAGTGAAGGCTGGAACCGACTCGACTTTGTCATTGTCGTGTCGGGGTACGTGTTGGCCAAACAATTCGGCGGCATCGGTGTTGTCGTGTTCACATGTCGATTCAAAATCTGTTGTTGTTGTTGGCATGTAGGGTACTGTCGATGCTGAATTTCAAAGGCGTCAAGGTGGGGTACATTCGAGTCCTCCGGGTCATGCGACCACTCCGAACGCTTCACTCTCTCCCAGGTAAAGGAACTAACTATACATAAGGGGGAACCCTTGCTTACAAAACGATGGACATCTTTTTGTTAGGTCTAAAAGTGCTGACAAATTCCCTCCTCGCCAGTTTACCCGCACTGGCCAACGTGTTTGTGTTGCTCATGTTTTGCACGTTGGTGTTTGCCATCCTGGGTATGGAAATGTACCGAGGAGCGTTCCATTATCGGTGTCGGGTAACGCCGTACCCCGTGAAGCTCCCCCCCAATGGCACGCTCAACTACCCCCCTGACGCAGCGTACATTGCCCTGGTGCAGTCGGCTCCCCACCTCTACCAGTGCATGATGACGGGGAGCATTCCGATTACTCAAAACATGTCCATGTGGCCTGAGCCCCAGGATTGCTTTTGGCCCACCGACCCAGGAGAAACCACGCCCAAGCTATGTAATCCCAACAGCGTCGTGGGGCGTCAGTGCCAGCCAGACTTTGTGTGTGGCTCAAACTACGACATTGAAGGCAGCCCGCGGTTTACGTATATGGAACTGGCGCCGTGGAACCAAAGCAGCGGCGACGACGCGCTGTTCAATTCGAATTTAAACTACGGCTTTACCAGCTTTGATAACCTTGGGCGGTCGGCGATTATCATTCTGCAAACACTCACGGCATCTGGGTGGATGGTGCTCACGCAAACGGTTCGTATACACATACAGTACCGAAGTGCAACGTTGTATCTGATAAAGTGATATGACTGACATACTGGTGTAGACCCAAACGACTGGAAGTCCCGTGGTCGGGGGAATCTTCTTCACCGTTCTGATGTATGTCGGCATGTGCTTTCTCCTGCAACTCAACATGGCCGTGCTGTTTTCCGAGTTTGAAAAGGCCAAGGAGCTACAAGCCAAGCTTCTACTAAAAGAACTGTACGATAGATATATACATGGATCGTCAAGCTGCAAATCGAGTTAACGTTGCGTAGGCAACGCAAGTCGGTGATTTTGGCTTCGTTGCCACCGGACGCAGGAAGCGCCAAGCATAGACCGGCCAAGCTGCCCGACCGCACTACCACCAACTCACTGACATCGACTCAACCAGGCGATGTGGCTGTGCAATCGTCGCTGCGGCGGCGGTTCGCGACGCTGCGAGCGCGCATGCACGTGGTGGTCACGTCCAAAAAGTTCATCAACTTTGGGCTGCTGGTGACCGTCGCCAATATTATCATTCTCGCGCTGGACCATCACGACATTGACCTTGACTCGAAGGCGGTGTACGAAAAGATGAACTTTACGTTTATGCTGTACTTTGGCATGGAGTCCATCATGAAGATGCTCGGGCTTGGGTTTCGCCATTTCTGGACGTACGTATCGTCTGACACTGGTGGATGCATTTCCAGTTGTTCTAAATGCAATGTGGGCTCTTGTAGTGACAAGTTTAACCGATTTGACGTGCTAACATTCGTCCTTGGTGTGGTCGAAGTGATTGTCCATCCCCCAGCGTTCATCGATGGCACCCCGGGAGGCGGCGGCTTCTTCACCGCGTTTCGAGCGGCTAGGGCATTTAAGTTGGCGCGCATGTGGAAGTCGCTCAACCAACTCTTGACGGCGATTCTGGCTTCGTTTGGCGAAATCCTCAACTTTTTGTTGTTTCTGGTGCTGTTTCTGCTCATTTTCAGCCTCATTGGCATGGAGGTATGTATATACGCACATGCTGTTAATGTCCATGTCTCGATAGTAAACTATAAAACTATAATCCTATATATAAAACACTATTTGGTTTGTGTGTAGCTGTTTGCCACCAAGTACCAATTCGACCCCAACAACTTTTCCATGCCGTACAATAACACGAACCCTCAAACGCGCCTACACCGGTCCAACTTTGACTCGATCCAGTGGGCGTTTTTCACCGTGTTTCAAATCCTCACGTACGACAATTTTCCATCGGTCATGTACGACGGATGGATCGCCGTGGGCACGATCACCCCGTTGTATTTTGCCTTGGTGATCATCCTCGGCGTGCTCATTGTCATGAACATGTTCTCCGCCATCTTGGTGCAAAGTGTCATGGTGGACAAGGACGAAGACATCGACGACGACATAGCACTCGACCGCGACGCCACCGCGCTCGCGTTGGAGGTAGCAAACTACGCCGACGGCAGCCCAGATAACGTGGCGGCCGATGGAACGACCCTGAATGCCATTCTCAGCTCTCGCAAGCGAAGCGGCAACAGCCCCGATCGACGCGGCAGCGTCACCCCCCAGCGCCTCCGCATGACCAAGCGAACGATGCAGCAGTTGATGCGCATGATAAACTCGACTACCCCCCCCCCTCAGCCCCCCGTGTCCACCTACGGCGCCCCTGAAGACGGGGCGGCCGTGCAAGTCAACGGAGGCAAAAGTTTGTACTTATTTGCCCCGTCCAACCCGATTCGCCGGTTGAGCCGATTCATCCTCAAGCGACGGGAGTACACGTGGGTGATGAGCTCGATCATATTCGTGTCGTGTGTGGGCACGGCGTTGGATTCGCCACTGCAGGACACGTCCACAGGCATCGGGCTCGTGCTGGACTCGTCCAATTTGGTGTTTGCGGTCATCTTTTCTACGGAAATGGCGCTCAATGTGATCGCCCGGGGGTTAGTTCAAGGCCCCGATGCGTTTGTGAAAGATTCGTGGCGACTTCTCGACGGGTTTATCGTGTTTGTGTCTGTGCTGCCGTATTGCTTGGGGGACTCCAAGAGTGATGCATTGTCTGGCCTGCGGTCCCTTCGGGCGTTCCGGGCGTTGCGCCCCCTGCGCGTGATCAACAAACTGCCGTCGTTGAAACTTGTTGTGAACACGTTGTTTCGATGCATGCCAGACATGGGTCGCGCGCTGCTGTTTGCGTTCTTCATGCTGTTTCTGTTTGGCCTTATGTCGCTGTCATTGTTCAAAGGCGCGCTTCATACGTGCTCTGTGAGTCCGTACAACTATGGCCTCGGCACTGGCACCCCCATCAACCCCCCGTGGTTCCCCACGGATTACACCGGCGACTTTAACATTGTCAATGTGACAGTGTTGGAGGAGTTGGACGTGATGACGTTTCCACGGCCGTGGACTGACTTGACCGAGCCGCAAAGAGAAGCGTTGCGACCTGTGTGGAACCAGCCCGGCTGCGGCCCCTTTGCCGACGACTTTACGCCGACATCACGAGACATTTGCCTGTGTTTTGCCGATCAGAATGGCACGTCGTGGAATCGTCAAACCCCACAGAGCTTTGACAACATCATTCGTGCGGTGGGTGGGTTGTATGAACTGACAACGATGGAAGGGTGGACGTCCGTGGCGATCGCGTGCATCGACGCCGTGGGGGAAAACATGCAGCCGATTGCCAACCACAACCCGGCCATGATGTTTTACTGGTGGCTGTACATCATCATATGCGCGTTTTTCATAACGAACTTGTTCATTGGCGTGTTGTGCGACAGTTTTCAGCGCGAAAGCTACGGGTCTATGGTCACAGATGAGCAAGTGCGGTGGATCAAGCTGCAAAAGAAAGTGCTGGCGATGTCCCCATTACGGTCGTTTCCTCGACCCAAGAACGTCGTGCGCGCCGTGTGCCATCGCATTGCTACGTTCAACTACTTTGAGCACTTTATCACGCTCGTGATTCTCGTCAACACGGGGTGCATGGCCGTGCAGGGGTTTGGACAGTCCAAGGCCACCGAGCTCACGTTCAACACGCTCAACACTGTGTTTTCAGTCATCTTCACGCTCGAAGCCACGGTGAAACTCACGAGCTTTGGACGGGTGTACTTTGAGGACGGATGGAATCGCTTTGACTTTGTCATTGTCGTATTCACGTTGCTCAGCATGATGCTGCAAGCGGTCAACATCAACGTCGGGTCCACGGCGACTGTGATTCGCGTGTTCCGAGTTGGCCGCGCCTTGCGCCTCATCAAAAAGGCCAAGATCATGAAGAACCTGTTTGACACGCTCATCGTGTCGCTGCCGGCCGTGGGCAATGTCGTGAGTTTGCTCATGCTGTTGTACTATATTTTCGCCGCCGTGGCCGTCCAATTGTTTGCCAAAACCGGCTTTGACGGCAACATGATCAACGAAGACCAGAACTTTGAGAGCTTTTGGGTCGCGTTTCAAACGCTGATTGGGTTTTCCACGGGTGAAAACTGGGACAACTTTGCGTGGGAAGTCTTCAACCAAGTGCCCGCGACCAACCCCACGTGCGAAGACCGGTCGTACAACGCCAGCATGTGCGGCTTCAACGACGTGCCTGGATGCGTCCCCCTCGACGGGTGTGGGAGTATGCTCATCTTGCCCTTCATGTACTTCTTCTTTCTCATCATGGGCTACGTGGGCATCAATTTGTTTTCCGGGATTGTCGTCGACGCCATCGGCGACTCGTCCAGCGATTGCCCTGTGAACGTCAACACGTTGGCGGAGTTTTCCGATCGGTGGGCGCAATTCGATCCATCAGGGTCGGGGCTCATCACGGCCGACGAACTGACCGACTTTTTGTACACTGTGTACCCTCCGTTTGGGTTCAAGGGTGTGCCGGGGTTTACCCGTCGAAGGGTTGTGATTGCCATCGGTACGTACAGACGACATTGAAGTTCAACTGGATACATGTGACATGTATTTTTCTAAGAATTGTTGACGTCATCAAGGATCGTACGCATCGGTTGTGTTGACGCAATCGTAGGCGAATTGGACATTCCCATCTACGACAAAAAGTTCGTACACTTCAAGGACGTGCCTCGAGCATTGGTGCAGCGGGTGTTAGCCGAGGTACCCTGAGTGTGGAAGAATGGATTGAGCTGACAAACCTCATGTTGCTATGATGTACTAATCATTAGGGCGACAAGACCAAGTACGCGGAGATTACCGATGTGATGGAGAAGCTTGGGATCAACCGCCAATTCGACGAAATGTGGTTCCGCAACCATGGCAAGAAGCACCAAAACACGCTCACGAAGCGACAAAAGGCACACGTGAAGGAATATTCGGCGTCCGTGGTGATACAACGCTTCTTGGAGCGAGTGCGCTTGGAAAAGGTGCGCCAGGACACGGGGTCGACGCGGAACTTGAAGATTAATCAGGAGAGTGTCGGTGGGTCCAAGGAGCGGATACAACTGCAGCCCCCTCAGTGCCTACATGGCGAATCCAGAGAGATCATGCACGTCGAATCCGTTGGAGCAGGAGAAGCCACGGGAGGTGAGCCGAATATCCCCGCCATTGTCGAAACGTACATGGCCCCGGCGGCGTCCATCGATGATCTCCAAGACGTAGTCGATGGGGTCGCATAGTTGTTGTTTTCTAGTAGTGTATCTTAATTTATACCAATTTTGAATGCGTATGTGGAATAGTTTGAAGTTGTTCTGTTCCTTGCCTGCCCTACAGTATACTTACACCTAAAGTAACTGTGCATAGAGTAGTGTAGCCAAGTCGCCGACTGGATTAAAAACTATGGCCAATTATGTATCGGGCACAACGCCAAATATATCGGGCATACGGTCAACATCACGTGCATTCCAATCAAAAACTTCAGCTTACGAGCAGTTAGTACACCTTTTTGCGGTCAATTTCAGGTTTACTACAGTCTGTATAAGCTTACTAGTATTTCGCTAACTAGCAGCACCTGGCCACCGATATATTTCGACCATCTCCATTTATTTTCATTGCGACCTCAAATTTCACGTTTATATATCACGAAGTCAGCGGTAAAATTCGACCAACTATCCTTTAATTTCAGTTTTTGTCAATCTATTTCACCCAGCAGGCGATTAATTTCGCCATAAAACCCAACCATACAGAACTTGTACTGGTTGGTGGTATGCTACGTATCTATCTACCTACGCCCGGAGGGACGCTTGCCACGTTTCGGCATCTTGGACTCCATGACTACACAATCCCGACAAGCATAGCACAGACACTTGAAAGGACAGCGTCCGTGTAGTAGGGTGCTTACGACGTGTTGTACAAGACGTCGACGTTCGGAGGAGTTGGCGCAGTGCTGACTGCTCCTTTGTAAATGAAGTTTCGAAGCTATAAGTGCCCCAAAACGAAACCTTCGATGGAACATCATTGTTCGAAATATATCGCCTGGGTGAAATATGTTGACAAAACTAAATTAACAACAGCGGTATAATTCAACCAAGAATAATCATTTACACGATTCTTGGTTGAATTATACCGCTGGGTTGGTGAAATAAATAAATAAACGTGAAGTTTGACGTTACAGTGGATCCTCGTTCTTTGCTCTACAAGCAGAAAATACCAAGAAAGTAAGTACTGTTAGGATGCCACGAAAAAAATGGCATACAATGGCCGTTTATCGAAGACAAGTTGCCGAAATATTCCATTTTTCGAGATTTTGTGGAAGCAATCAAAGTTCAAATATGGCATAAAAGATATGAACCGATTTGGTCCAACTATTTTATGGAGGTTTGGGTTCACGTTGAAGTGTTGCACTTCAACCAGAAATTATCGAATATTTCTTCCAAGATTCAACTGGTATATCCAGCCAACTTTGTAGATATTACTTCTTTTCTCCTTGTTTTCATGGACTATGAGACTTTGGGAAAGTTTTGCAGACCTGCCAAAACGGTGTATGCCATAATTTTGTGGGCTTTACAGTGAGATCTGGATTAAATGACAAACCATGGCTGTGCATATGCTACGTAATAGTACTACTACCATTAATATAAAGGAATGCACCACTACATTTTAGACGAATATAAAAATACCGCGTGTTAGTTCTTATATTGCTAGGCGGACGCTTTGGATACAAAGGACAAGATAAATTTAGTTTTGGTTTAAAACATTTCCTTCATTTTTATACCGCTAGTCCTGAATTTGCATGCAGCTCCCACCGATGAGCAGCACATCAGTTCCGACAACGCCTTCAGCTCCAGAGGACGCCAGCGCCAGCTCTCCAGAGGAACAACTGAGCGTCTTCTTCAATGTCGCGGGGTTGTACCAGAAGATTGTCGTCCAAGACGGCTGGTTTGTCGGCGACTTGATCAAGTTCATGGCGAAAATTTCCGCCGAACTCCATCCGCACGCGGACGTGCCCGAGTGCAACGCGATTCGGAACAACCAAACGCGCAAGTTTGTCGCGCTGGCCGACCCCGCGACGCGGGCGCTCGTTCATGGCAACTTGTATGACCTCTTGTACGTGGAAAAAGCGGCGGCGTCGTCCTCGACCTCGGCCTTGCCGCTGGCGCTGCATGACGAGATCCAAGTCGTGTTTTACAGCAACCCACTTGGTATCACGATCAAACCGGTGGGGGACGGGACATATGTGGTCGCGACGAAGAAGAAGGAACTGAACTGCTACCGCCGGCTCACACCCGGCATGCAAGTCGTGAGCATCGGCCCCGCGTCGCTCACTGGCATGGACTTTCGCGAGTTCCACACGACGATGGTCAACTCCGAGTTTCCGCTCACAGCAGTGTTCCGCGCCACGACCGAGTCCATTGAGATCGGAAACAACAACAACGTCGTGTCTTCCGCGTCATCAACTGCCACAGGAGACGACGGCCAGGCCAAGCAACCCCATCCCGAGGCAACTTCGTCGTCCGCACCAGAATCGCCGCAAGAGAAAGATCCTTCTTCCATCGACAAGGTACAGTGCCACCACCATGTATATCTTGCTGAATGGCAAAGCTACGTAACGTTGAATACATCACGATCATTTACATGCTTTTAGGTGCCTGCTACCAAGGACACGACCCAACCACCTCCATCCAATGTGGATACATTCAACGTTCCTGTTCCAGTAGTCTTCCATGATGATGGATCGGTCGAAGGCCGAGTGCGGCGGTATCGTCCGTCTGTCGTCGTCGACTCGCCTCGGAACGACGTTAGCTCCCCCTCGCAGCACCCTCTTCATGCATCTACCCCCGCCGACCACCAGCTGCCCTCGTTCGTGCCTTTGATGGCGACGCTGCAAGACGAAGTGCGCCTGGAAGAAGGGTTAAAGTCGCTCAACGAAGCGTTTTACAAGAAAAAACGTGAACTCAACGACATTGTCGACCGAATTCGAGAGTACACACAGCAGCTGTCGGCCGTGCGCGCGGCCTTGAGCGCCGGCACCCCCCTCCCCCCCCATCCGCCATCATCGTCGTCGATTGCTTCCGGCGGTGGATTGACCTTCGACATGCTGCAGCAAGCCCAGGCAGCTGGGGGACCCCCCCCCCGTGGTGGCACGTCGCTGAACCTCGCGCCTCGCCATCAACGCAAGCCTTCGTCGGTCGTGTCCGGCGTGAGTTCGTGCACGTCGTCCATCTTGCATCACGCGACATCCCACCACCATCGTCCGCCGCCGCCACAGTCGTCTCGCGTGTATTTGCCGCCAAAATCAAGACAAGGAGTGAGCAAAGGACACCACATGTCGTCGTCGGCGTCGGTCTGTTCACTCACGTCGACGTGTTCCATCGATCGCATGGCGTTCAAGAAGAACCGCCTCGGCAAGTACGGCGACACCCCCGCGGTCTCTTCCACGGGCACGTTGAGCGGTCGCACCAAGAAGCCATCGACGCTCAGTACGACGGCCTTCTCGAGCACACTCCAACTCCCGAGCTCGTTTTCGACCAAGGGCGCCGTGATCCCGCAAGCCCAGACCCCCCGCGGGTCAGCTTTTTTGAATCCCAAGAGCACCACGCCCGGTGTTGGCCACTACGATGTGAAAGACCTGAGCAAGAATGTGCGCGGCGGCGAGATTGGAGACTCGGACCGCGATTTGACGTGGAGTTAGAAGGTATATATATATATGTATATATATATAATACAACCACAACCGTTGCATCAAACCATGGAGTGTGGCTGGTACGTGGAGCGCTAATGCTGGATGACTCTATCGCAGTATTTTGATTGGCTTCAATGCGTTTTTTTTATTGTGATTTATTCTATTTTTTGTAATTCTATTTTTTCGAAACGGGTTTCTTATATATATATATATTGTCGAGAGTTAGTCGTCCTACTGTATCATTGAAATACGGTTGTACGAGGCAAGCAAGGTACAGTACATTTGTAGCCTTCATAGTACTAGTCCAATGGATATTGTATGCAAACAAGGGAACCAAAGTACCCAAGCATGTACATATAGAAAGGAAAAAGTCCACACATACTCTAATATATTAAATCACAAACACTTTGCCGGTAGAGTCATGCTGCAACTACTGTACAGTAGCGCTGCTATTTCGATGGTACATGACTAGTCTCTGGTGGGGATGGGACGAGTTGTGTACTCTAGAATCGTTCAATAAAATGTTTAGATTTGTCGAAAGTATACACATTCCATCTAATTTCGTGAGCTACCAATACAGTACAGTAAGTACTACATAGGGGCCACAACAGGTTTTCCCGAGGATGGGGTAATAAATAACTTGATTACGACGCTGATTGTGGTCGTTAGGTCTATGGTGTTGCGTAACCTATCTATGGATGCTAGGGCTATTGGTGGTGTTGATACTGCGACACGGCGGCGACGGACGTTGGCGACGGCTCGTCCGCCGTGCCTTTGCTAAAGTGATGGACATAATGTGACCACATTGCGTGAAAGCAGTCTTGGATCTCGTCGACGACGTAGCCGCTGTTGATTTCAATCTCTTCCCGCCACACCGGCCTACGAACCCCCAAGTTAGGACCCATGACGATATATATGTATATATCGACAAGCGTACGTGATGTGAACGATGCGGCGGGCTACACAGAGCATGGCCGTTGCCAGCACTGACGGTAGCCACTGCTGAAACGCATGCTCTTGCAGGCACATTTCCGTGAGGAACTCGACGTGCTTGGTGTACACGGTGGCGTAGGCGGTGGGGTCGGCGAGCTGGTAGCCGTTGATGTCGTCGTCGGGAAATAGGGGTGGGTTGGTCAAGTAGAACTCTGTGAAATGGATGGGCTGCAGCACGTTGAGCTGCCAGTGGAGGCTACAAAATATAGCATCAAGTGAGGGCAAGGGCGACGACGACGACGACGTACGCTTTGAGCGTGGCCATTTCATACGCCTTGATCTCGTCGAGCGTGTATTGCTGGTGTCCGTACGCGTAGATTTCTTCAATACTCGGCACTTCGCAATCGACGGACGCAAACTTGGTGGCTATCCACAGGCACACGAGGCACACGAGCTGCAGCTTGGATTGTGGCGGTAGTGCACACGGTACCTGCAATACATGTCAGACGAAAGCTACAACGAGACGGGGTGTACGTTGAGAAGACGGTCGAGGTAGTTGACCGCGGTGTGTACGATGCTCTTGGGCACATCGAGCTCTTCGCCGACATCGCATGTCCAGTCGACGAGGACGAGGCGAACCTGGTCAAGGCGATTCATGTGAGATGCGTTGGTCGGGAAGATGGACCCAATGAAAGGAAAGCGGCATCGCACTGGTATGGCAATATACCTTGAGGTAGTGGGGCTGCGGAGCATAGTGGAATTGAGCGCGCTCCTGTGCCAACATCGAGCTATACCAGTCGTCGACCAGTTCCATGTCGATATCCTCTGGGGATGTAGCCGTTGTCATGGCAGCATCATCGACAAAGTATTCTTCGCAGTCAAGTTCCAAGGCCATGATGATGGTATATGTTGGATTGTCTAAAGTACTCCCGATGATGCGGTTTGCATTGAGTTTTGGAGGCATTTTCGCCGCGAAACCCTTGGCATGGGCGTATCCGGACGGTTAGCATGTCGACCATGGGCCAATCACAGAGCTTCGTGACCAATTTCTCGCACAGGATTGGCTACCTCGTCAAGAGCACCCCGGGCCGCCGATAGTTCCCTCTCAAACGCCACGGTTTCGCGGGACGAGACAGCCAATCAGGATGCAGGACGTGCATGTTATGCACCACTAGACTCAACTCATCACAGCAGCACTCCACCCTCCAGACGTATACTACTGAGGTACTAGTATGTAGTAACGTTAAGAGGTACTAGTATGGCAAGATCGTAGAAACTATTGTTGCTCTTGTGGTGCAAGGTGCATTGAAAGGCGCAGATCAAATGATATGTGCCAAGGTGGAATGCTGACTGGAATGGACGTGTAACAGGTATACTTCCATTGCCTCTGCCGCCAGCGTGTCAGTCAAGCGGGCGGGGGGTGTCGCGAGGAGGATGGGCTTGAAGTCGAAGGGAACACGACGAACTCGTCGATCCTTGGACGTGCAGCGGGGAAAGTAGTACCCGGTAGTTGGGTTGATGTGGACCGTTCATGAAAACGTAGATGAACAGTTTATGGTGCACCGAAACAGTTTAAGGTACACTAAAAATGGCCAATGGCTTTGCTTGAATGTTGGGATAGCCAATTGAATCACTAGCAAATGTAATCAGCAAAAAATATGCAATACACGCATATCTCTTTTAAGCTTAAACCGTGCACTACACTCCGACCATCCTGTTTTGCCTTAATTTGAGGAGAAATCGACGCTATGAAGAAGTCTATTCACTAGCCGATTAAAAGATACTATTAACGTTATATATTCATAGTATAAAGAAGAATGCCCAACCTTTCGGCTTCTTGCAGCACTTTTCACAATTGAAATCCCGATCCCGAGAAACTAGTAAGCTGCATTCCACGACGATAATTCCTTTAAGTCCATCATAAATTGGCCAGTTCAAGTGACTCTATAAATGCATACCAAACTGCAAAATATTATACTACTGCAAAATATTATACTCCCTAGATTTGTAACTGCCGCGTAACTGCCGCCGACCATGGATGGCATTTCTTGTTTCGCACCGCTTCACATCATGTTCTACCGTCGGCGATCGTTGATGGAGGCACCGACGACGACATCGACACTGAACACGCTGGACGTGGTCAACTTTGGCCTCATCTTTATGACGCTGGCATTGACGTTCGGCATGAGCGTGATGATCTTGCAACGGTCGCATGTGATGGTGGTGGCGTCGAGCTTGGCATGATGGCACGCAGAGTCGTCGTCGCGTCAAGTCTTGTTCCGTGTTTGCCCATTGCGCTTGATTAAAAGGCGTAGGCCACAACGATGTGCCCACTGCCCAATTGTAAAGTTCCCTGATACAGTATCCATAACCATCGATCATATCCCATCGTGAAGCGGCCGTCATTACTCTTCTAAACGACACAACAGTACACAACAACACACTAGTACATTACAAGGAATGGTTTAGTCGTCCAACTGACTAAGCATCGCCACGCCTCGTGCGACCCAGTGTGCCTCGGGAAGGTTCGTCGGCAGCCGAATAAAGCAGATAAAGTTGGTCGAGTGTCCGGTTGTGGACAGCGTGCCGCGGCGTTCGCTAAACATGCCGGCGTCAACATCCCCAAACATTAGCTTATATCATATATCACTCGTACCTGGTTTTATACACGGGGCAGTTGTACGACTTTTTCGGGACAAGGTCGCTCTTTTTCGACGGCCGAAACCACAGCACAGGACCGCTGGTAAACAGAATCTTGGGCTGGGATTCCGTGAGCTGCCCTTCCACTTTATTCCACCGGCAGCCTTCTAGGAACAGCCCACGCACATATACCCCATCCTACAACGTATACATATATTCAGCGAATGTTTCATCGCTGAATTCGACGCCCTCCCACATCGTACGTAACGGTTCAAAAGTAGACGTTATCCCACTAGAATACAGAATTCCCGTCGTGAAGTCGTCGCAGACTCACCTTAGGTCCGGCAGCATATTCCGATCGAGGCATGGCTTCGTGGTCAAACGCAATTTGATCTACGATATCGTTATGCATTCGTGATTCATACGCATATCATGGTAGCATCCTTCAGAACAACGACATCAACAGCCCCACATTTGTCCTCAAGAACACTGACCATCATAAACAATAACATTCAATGGATCAATTACGTTCTCCGTGACACACCATGCAAAATGATATATATATCATTTTGTACGGACCAATGGGAATCGTGTACCGCCTCGCAAAGTTCTGATTCGCGCCCGTCAAGAACGCCTGGGTAAAGAAAAAGCCCGAGATCCAAAACACTGGCGGGGGCGCGTCTTGCAGCCATCCGTTGAAGAAACAAATCCGTTCGAGCAAATCACTCACATAACTCGCCAGCGGTTTCAACGACGGGTACGACTTGGCGATCCACATGGCGGGAATCTTTCCGTAAAACAACGACAAGCTCAAGTTTTCCAGCTCGGCCGACATCACGACCAACCCTATCCCGTTCGTTGTATGAGGGGGATGGATGGATACACATTGTTTGCCCTTTCACGTGTAATGTTGTATATATATATATGTCACCTTGAATGGCTTTGCGGACATTCTTGAGCGACAACCGCACGACGGCGAGGAGATTGTTGAACCGAACGAGTTCTTGGCACAGCACCGTGTTCATGCTTTCGTTCCACTTGACGGGGTATCGAATCGCAGCTAATTCCATGTCGTAGTTGTCTGGCAGCCGACCCAAAATGTCGGCAGCCATCGCGTCCACCGTTTCTTCTTGACTTAAACCCTTGGCGTCACCGCTGCCAGACGATGATGACGACTGCGTGCGCAGAATGTTCGCACACAAAATCGTCGTTTCGTTCTGGTCTTTTGTGATCGTGGCGTTGTCATGAAGCCCAAACACATTGGGCGGGGCCACCAGCGGCAAACCCTCGATGAACGTGATAAATCTAAATGAACCACATCCATGATTAGTATCCTCATTCTAATGCGAATATTAATAATTGCCATTTTTGGGGAATTGTGGAAGTCGCCGAGAAATCGAGCAAAGCCGATTGATTGATTGGATACAAAGAGCTGTGAAGATTGACATGTGATTGGCTAAAACGAATAAATATTCCCCAAAATACCCCTTAATCGTAGATATATATCGTATTTCGCAGGTCAGGCAATTTCAGCTCGAAAAGATGAGTACAACCAACGCTATTTTTGGTAAAACCCAATATAAATAGTGTACGGTACCCGTCATAGGGCAAATCTGGTGGCACCACGTATTGCTGCCGCTCGTCAAAGCTATACGTGTCCTGGAGCACGTCGGTAGTGTAAAAGCGTCCGAGTAAACACGCCAACGTCCGGCGATCCTTGTCGTCGGTCACGCGACCCCCGTAATTGCACTCGCCCGTGCAGTACCTATGTATGCATATATATTGAATGATATATAAATATTGTCAAATCGCCTCGAAATCACAATATCAAAAATTTATAGATAATAAAACAAGTTCTATAGACATCAGTATAATAAGTATATTTTGTCTATTTGATATTATTCCTAATAAAATAATAATAATATTATTAAAAAAATCATTTATATCTTTTAAATTAACCAATTAAAGCTTAATTATATACTTGATGTATATATAAAACAACCTAAAGTTAACGGTAAAAAAACTTTCCAACCAAACACATTAATTGACCGTAACGATATCTAGGTAATTACTGGAGCCCTGAGCAAAATCTAATGTGTTTAGAAAATTAAAAAACTGCCTAATCCTATCAAATCATGATCTATCTAATTTCTGCCAATATCGATTGGCAGAAATTCAAAGACACAAATATACTATTCTTTGTATAGTATAGTTTGTACAAATTTAAATAGGAAGAAATGGATTCGAATGCTATTTTTTACGAAATGACTCATAAGTCCAAGTTTGGGTGAAATGCACAATATACATGTATGTAGGGTAATCATTTGTAGTACCGAATAGCGCCCCACGGAATGACGTCGTTTTCGTCGACAAACATGGCGAGCTGTCGCGTTGAAATACGCAAATCGGACTCGTTGAATTCGTACTGAATGTTCCACCCCAGAGGTCCAAACTGACGACGTTCCCGCACGAGCGCATGGAAAAAGCAAAGCGCGTACAGCAACCTGCGGAATTCCCCTCCCTAAATCCATTCAAACGATATAATTAAGTGCTCAGGGTATTTAATATTTTTCAAGGATGGATGCATGGGATGTGTACATTATTTATTACCTTGTTGACAGACTCGAGAAACCCTGGCTCGGAGATCGGATCCAATAGGTATGACCCCATGAGGTTTGCGCGAAGGCCTTGGGGGGGCTCGTTGGTCATTTTCACTCCGTTTTGAAGCACCGACGGAGGAAACACTGGCGACGGATACGTCGTGCACCATAACCGGAATGTCGGGTGCGTCGCGTCGACCTACCGAGATGACCATGTATTTGTATTATACAAAGTCTTTCTCAAAAGCGAAGAGCCCCCCCCCAACATATAAACGAGATCCCCTTTAACCACCCTTGAATGAAACCCAGCGTAATCAGTATATATATGGTGTCTTTCCAAAAGAGTTGACCCCCCAACATATATAAGAGGTCCCCCTTGCGTACCTTGATGCCTTCGGTGATCCGTTCCAAGGTTGGCATCCACGACGGGGCCAGATGACAGTTCTGCAGCACGACCCAACTGCCTGTCTCCATGGCCAGCGAAATCATCCGCTCGGCAATAGGCCCTTGGCCTTGCCCAAGCGAGATGGTGTCGATCTTTTGCTTGGTGGCGTCGGCAAACTTGAGCACGGAACTGATGGGGTCGCTGCCGGGGCTCAGGATAAACACGAGAGGGCTCTGGACGCTGCTGTCACCATAACAAAGCGCCAGGTCGAACGGCGGCGGCTTGACAAACGACTCGCCCATCGTCACCACGACAAACTGCTGGGCCGCCACCACGACCAAGTCTGGACGAAGCACGCGGATCCCGAGGAGGCGGCGGAACGGTGTCGCAGTCGCAAACGACCCCGGAAATGGCAGCAGGTGCCCCGTCGGGCTGTCGTAGATGCCCTTCCATTCAACGTGATACGTCTTGAACTCGTCCACTAGGCCTAGGTAGCACGGCATGTTGGCCAGTCGAACCAGCTCGTTCCATTGTTTTTCGCTAAACCAGTCGGCACAGGGGTTGGGGGGCGGAATATCAGAGAGGGCAACGCCTCCCGTGAGGAAAAAGTACCACTCGGCGGCATCGATTTCGTTCCGACCTTGCATGATGGACACGGTGAGGAGGAATGAAAACATGAGCTTGTCCTTTTCCAGCAACGACCGGCAAATATTGCGATACAGGGAGAATGTAAAGTGCGTGTCGAGGACGTGCAGCCGCTCGGCGAGTTCAGCGCTGCGCTCGCTCTGCTGTATGCTCAAGATGAACAAATTGATAAACCACGATAGCGAGTACTGGTACACGGGCTCAATGTTGGCCAGCTGATCGATGCAAAAGAAGAGCACTTGCGACGCATAGGCCACGGGACGGTACCCCTGGCGGACTGTGTCGATCTCCAACTCGGTCGCTTCGGCAATCACTTGCTCGGATTTGATTTGATCCGCCACTTGCTTGCCCTGGTTCATCGTGTTGATCGCTGACTCGTCTTCGAGAATGTTGCCTTCGGACGACGACAAGATTTGCAGCGTCTAGCCACATATTACAATACACGTTCGATCGGGTTTGTCAACGTTTTATAACGTTATATACAACGTGTGACAACGTAATATTGTAGTGCTTATTCTACACTGTTACGATATGGAGAATCAATCCACACAACCAAATGTGCAGAAGCATCGACAGAAGAATTTAGCCCATCCGAATGCAGGAATCCATCATCAACCACGAATTAGTGTGTGACTTCAATTAGTGTGATACCAGTCATCACAGGACGCCTTTTTATATACAAAATTCAATACAAAGAATCGATCGATAGAGTGGCCGAATCAGCACAAAAGTCCAAAATTGGGGTAAAAGGACAATGCCACGGTATATACATGTATTGTCAAGTCGATTCAAAATAGGAGTGGGATGCGCTCAATCGAATGAGCAGCACCATATCAGCCATCGACAACCGATCGATCAATCAAAATCCACAACTCGAATCAAGTAGCCACTCAAATCCACTCTTCGACCAACCTTTCAAGATTGAATTAGGGTGTGAATGAGATTAGTGAAACAATCGAATCGACAGATGATTTGGCGAAAAAAACAGCACAAAAGGCCAAATTTGGGGTAAAAATACCTTGTCCTCAATGTCTTTGAGCAGCGCCTTGTTTTTTGCGCTTTGGACAATGAGTTTGTTCTTTTGATCTTCCAAGTCGGGGCGTTCTTGCGCGACCACAATTCCCAGCAGCTGGTCTTCCAGCCCCTGCGGCGTAATCATAAAGTTGAGCAGGGTCACTTTGACCGACACTTCAGGCAAATAGTGTGGGTTGCGTAGTTTGGTCGTAATGTAAAACCGAAACGTCTCGGCGTACTCAATGTTGGCATCCCCAAGCCGGATGAACAACGTCCCGCCTTGTTTGAACGTTTGCTTGAGCAGCAACGGCTCCAAGCTCGGATCGAGCTCTTCGCCAATGTTTTCCAACAGCACGGGGCGACCAAACTGCACGGAATTCTCGAGCGTCCGCAGGTAGTCGCCGTCGGTGAGTTTGATCACGTTGAGTCCGTTGTCGTTCTCCATGTTGCGAATCCACTTGTTGGCTTGGCCTTGCGGGTCAATCATAAGCGGCCACCGTCGCGCGTTGAATACGACAATGCCGTTGTCTATGCTAAACATGTCGGTGGGTAGGCCGTCAATATTCCACTTTCGAATCTGCACCGGGTCCCCCAACGTCCCAGACAAGGACGGCAAGTCGCTGCATGGAATCGCCAGCGTCTTGCATCGTGCGACCCATGCAGTCACGGCCTGCGCTCGATACACGGACGTGAACGGGCCTAAGCATTAATGATCAAGGATAGTTACTACAAGCACTATAGATGGCAGACGTACCCAGATATGCTACAATCCCAGCAGAAATGAGCGCGTCGCCCGTGAGTTTGGTGTACTGAATGGCCAGCTGCGCGCTAAATTCCTTCCATCGGATCTTCTCGCCGCCCAAACTGTCGATCAACGTGGCCGCACGCACGAGCTTTTTGCCCGTGAGGTCAATTTGCCCTTCTAGAGACACTTTGGAATCGGTTGCGTCTTTGAATGCTTTTTGCAGCCCCGCCAACCCTACTCACCATGTCAGATAGGCTAATTGCAGTGGATAATATAGTACCATCCTCGACCTCCTTGAGCCGGCTTAACTTTTCATTCAAACTCGCCATCGTTTCTTGGAGTTGTTTCTCCGCCGTGGCCAACGCTTCGCGTTTCGGAGCCACGACCTACGTTTTCACGACAACATCAAAGGCCGTTGCTTGCATTTAGGTAAGTAAATCGAGATAATTGCTTTCGATTGTAGCCACCGAAACAAATGTGTACTATATATTATGCATTCGCTATGAACTTCCAAAATTCGCGTGGTATTTTTCTCTATTGAATCACGCTGGAAACTTCTGATTGGCTGCAAACATTTGTGCTTTCTGTAGGAGCCACTCAAATCCACTCAATTTTGGATTAGCCAATAGGGATGATGATTCGTGATTCGATTCAACTGCGAAATTCGATTCCACAAAGTCTGGATATTTGTACCGAATCCATAATACATGTATATATATATATCATCTTTGCTCACCTTGCTGACGTTGTCATATAGGGCCATGGCGTGAACCCACTTACACAGCCCCGCCGCGGCTTTGGAGGCCTTTTCCGCCTTTTCCGGGCTAAAGTTTTCGTCGGCAATGTATTTGGACACAACCACCTATTCCGTCGCCAAAAGAAAAACCCAATTCCAACGTAAACTTTACAATGTAATCGACATACCTTCATGATTTTCGGGTCCAAGTTGTCCTTGTCAAACTTTTTAAGTTGCTGGATAAACGTCGAGTCACTGAGCATTTTCACGGACGGGCCCCAGTAGTCCATGATGCGCTTGCTGGGATCCCCTGGGTCTGGAATCCGGTTTGGCTTGATGCCGAGCATCACACACACCCCTTCACACACAAGTTTCACTCCTCCAGGGGGGTTTGCCATCGCCTTGACTTCGTTGATTTCAGATGCTTTGATCGTGTCCAGTGCCTTTAGCGCCTCTTCCAAGGCTGGCACGGCCTCGGCCAGGTCAGCCTCAACGCTTGCCTTTTGGGCTTCACATTCCATCTTGGACGCGTCAGCGATTGCCACATCCGCCTGCACTTCGGCTCTTGTTTTCTCGACCCCAGGCAGTTTCGACTGAATCTCTTCCATGAGTACCTACGTTCGTGTGGATGGTGATGATTTCGTCCATTGATCAGCGCTATTTGTAGTTGTGAAACATGTAGACATACCGCCGTATCTTTGGTGGATTTGTCCAGAATCGGCTGCATGTCGACGAGTTCTTTGCGCATGACGCTGACATTGGCTTCGGCAAATTGAATCTTCTCCAACCCAACTTGATACCGCAGCTTGGCCTTCATGACGCTGTCCCGTCGTTGGCTCAAGAACGACTTGAACGCTACGATGAGCTCCAAGTACGACGTCGGGGTCACATAGTTTTGGCGCCGAAGGCACCGAAGGAACAAACTGCTCAGCTCTTCCACTTGCACGTGAAAGTACTGACACGTGTCTACAATGCCCCGACGGATGCCGTCGCTCTCCATTTCCACGTCGCGCAGAAACTTCTCGGCCACGGCCACCAGCGCGTCTGCTGGCCACGCGGTAAACCAGTCGATCGTGCAGCAGTTGATCATGGACGGAAACTTGCGCAGCCGATCTCGAAACGCGTCGCCGATGGGGGAACACGCAAGTACAATGTGCAGTTGCTGGCGAACCTATGAGCAACGAGAACAGCAACACCATAAATCATCGGGGGGACGGAGGGAGGTAGTTGAGAAAATCAGAGGGGGGTAAGAAACTCGGAGGAGGTTACGAAGAAACTGGGGGGTAGTTCAGGGGGGTCATAACTTGGGGGTAGTTAAGAAATTGAGGGGGTAGAAAAAAAGCTTGATGGGGTAGTTAAGCAGCTGGGGGGTACTTAAGAAAGTTGGAGGGGGGGTATTAACGAGACAAATCGATGGTGTTTCGGTACCCGCTGGACAAAGAACGCATACAACTGCGTGGGCGTCATGTCGCCCGCCGCTTTGCCGTACTTTTCCTTGGCGTACGGCCGCACGCCTTCGCACAGCCCGACGCGTTCGTCGTACGGAAACAAGTTGGGAATTTCCCCCGCGTTGAGCATGTTGTTGATGTCTTCGACAAACGATTCGTACTTGATCTGAGTGTCGCTAAACAGAAACACGAGGGGACGGGCGCCAGTCCCAGCCGTCTTTAGCACATACTTCATGTCCTCGCGCCACTCGAGCATGGTGTAGTTTTTCGCGATTTCAATCTGCTTGACTTCATAGTCCATGATGAAAGCCGCGAGTCGCGTCAGACTCTGCCGGCCGCTGCCCCCCACGCCCACGAGTAGCGCGTTTCCCCGCGGCATCTTGAGCACCCGTGCAATGCGACTCAAGTGCTCGATCGCAAACAAAAACATGACCAAGTTCATGGGTTTACGAGACACGGCGTTGAATTCGCCCAAGTATGTATCCAAGCACGCAATTAACTGGGCGATGCCATCCACTTCGGCACTGCACGACACGTCGATTTCCTTGTACAGTCGCGGGTTGGCATCCGGGTCTCTATTATATATCATCGATCAATGCATAAACGATACACGATGCAATGTATCTAGTTGTCGATTCGAAATTGGAGTGGGATTCCCATGAGCAGAATAACCAAATCGGCAGACAATCTATCGACCAATCAAAACCCAGAACACGAATCGAGTAGCCAATCAAATGAACTCTTCGACCAATTCAACACTGAATTAGTGTGTGACTGAAATTTGTGTGATACTGGACGATCTTAAAAGTCAGGACAAAGAATCGATCGATGGATTTGGCAAATGAACACAAAAGTCCAAATTATGGGTAAAAGGACAATTTATGCTTCGAAACTCGAATGCCGAATGAATAGACACTTTGGACACAATATTAAATATAGCCAATCAGATTTGAGAATCGCTCCACTCTACGAGTATATGCCAATCGAAATAATGAACAGACCAATAAGAGAATTGTAAATGGTGTACGATAAACATATATCGTGTGCTAGACCATTGAACCAAGTCATCTGATCCAACCTCCCAAGCATACGTCGATCGTTTGGGCAAGACGTCCAAATTGACTGAATGGACAACAAGACAATCATGAACAGGTATACCGGTAGTCGCCAAAAAACAGGTTGCGCATATCCTGAGGGGTAATGGCGCCCCCGTTGTCTCGCCCCCGTTTCAACGACACAAACACTTTGTCAAAGTTGGCACTAAAGTGCTTGGCCACCATCTTGCGCTGAAACTCGCAAAACCACGCCCGGCCTTCGTCGTCAATGAGGCGGTCCCCAATCACCCGCAGCGATTCGTGCACCCACAGTTTGACCAATCCCGTGGTATTAAAGTCATCCGACGCAGGGATGAGCATGATGCCTTGGATTACACGCGAAAAGTCGCGCAAGTTGAACGTATAATGCGACTTTTTCGGCGTCGGCAATAGTACCTACATCATAATAGTTAATGGTTCAAATCTTGTGAAGTCCGTGTCGACGGTATTGTTTTGTTTGTTCTAAACTGGAGCGACATGGAGAATGAATCGACGACACACAACCAAGTAATAAATGTACACAAGAATCATCGGCAGAAGGATCAAAATAGTGTGTGACTTCGATTAGTGCGAATACAATCACCACCGGACACCGTTTTAGATGCAAAATTCAGTACAAAGAACTGATCGATACATTTGGCGAATCAATCACCACAGATCCAATTTTTGGGTTAAAGGAAAATATGTGTGTCTGACATTTTGCGTACTTTCATGGCGTTTTGATACGTTTCCAACGTCGCCGCCACGACCGCGTCCGCTAGCTTTCGGATTTCCGGAAGAAACGGCCCGCTGTTGAAATACCATGCGACGATGGTAGAGAATATCCGGACGAGCGTGGCATCGTCAAACTCGGAAAAGCAAAACACGTTGAAATGACGTTGGAACCGGGGGCTGATCGTGTTGCGCCCCCCCCCCGGGGGACCCATGGCCGTGACCACGATCGTGTCGACGATTTTTTGCCACGTCATTTCCTTGAGATCGTACCACCCACCCGAGTCGACAAATTGCCGCATGAGTTCGATCGGTGGCTGCGCGCCGTACGTTTCGATTTGAGGCATGTTGAGGTCGTCCACAAAGATGATCCCATCTAACATGAATGAGCAACGATATGAACGGTAAGCGATACAGAGAGACTGAACACATTGTTCTACATCCTACATCGAATTAATGAAGGAATGGATGGTCAGGAGGACACGTAGTAGTAGTCCCCCACTAATCAAATTGAAAACCACTGGCCACAACGATATGTCGTCGATAGACTAAATCCGGCGAAAAATGCCACCACGATAAGTGGATTGATCATCATCATTCCACACACGAAAGCGATATAATCACTGTACAAATGAATAGTCTAGGCGAAATATAACGAGAGCCTCATAAACCACGCCACAGTATTCATGTACACAAGATACAAGTATACACATGAGATCGCACCTTTGCCAACGGGGGGGCCGTACACGCCTTTTCGTCGCTTGTCCAACTTGCCGTCAATGATATTTTGGGTCATATAGGCCGACGTTTTCGCCGAGAACGACAGCATGATGACCGAAAAGTGCTCTGCCGACAGCTTCTCGTTCAAGATACCGTTGAGGTAGCAACTTTTGCCCGTGCCGGTGGGACCACACACGAGCACTTTGCGTTTGCACGTGACAAGTAGGGTCACAAGACACTCGAGCTGAGCCGTGTACGTCGTGGGCACAACGATCGCACTGAACGGACTGGCGGGTGGAATCGTATACTCTTTCAAAGTGTCCTCCCACCGAATCCACTTGGCGTCGTCTACTGCGTACATGTAGTCGTGGAGGTTGCCCTTGGTGGGCAGTGGAGATGCCAACGTGTATGTGTCAAATGCAGTGGGTTTGGTCCAGTTGCGAACTTGAAGTGCACGGCCAACAATCACAAACTTGGTTGTGAGTACTTGCATCGACTCCATGTACGCGCGCAGAAACTCACAAAAGCGCGTGCGCCCGTCTGTAGAGGATGTAGCTCCAATGGACCACGTCTAGTACACATCCCATCAATATATATGACAATACTAGTAGAACCCATAAAAAACTAGTCTATTCTCCAAGTGGTGGTGAAATACACTCAACACAAAGGTATGAAGGTTTTGATTTCCAGACGAATCGAGCATGCTTTGGACTTACCAACGCAAACACAAAGAGACTTTCGAGGTGCTGTAACCCCTTCTTCGTGCCCACATCCGCGGCCTTTACGTTGAGCATTTCCGCCTCAAAAATATGCAGCAAGCTTTGAATCAAGTTGGCGTCCACGGTTGTCGTGAGTTCAATCAACTCTTTGCGCACAAAGCAGAGACATGGTTCCACGAGCCAGCTCGTGAGAGTTCGAACGGTCGCACGCTGGTCGTCTGTTAGGTACAGCTTGCGATCCGTGGGATCTTTGGGGGGGATTGTCGTTAGGTCAAGCCATGAATCGACGAGGGGCTGCCACCCTAGCTGCTCGGGCTCCATGTAAATCATGCCGCAGCGGGACACCGTCGCAGGGGATGCCACCAGCAGATCCATCGGCTCAAACATCATGCTCATGACGGGACTCATGGCGATGATTTCGCCGCTCATGAGACAGAGTTTTCGGTTGTCGTCCAGCACCGTGTTCATGTTTTCAATCCACACAGCGTCCACGGGTCCATCGAACAAGAGCCACTTGCGGTCCGGGGTCGGAGACGTCGCCAGGTTCCGGTAGTTGATGGCCAGCACGCCGTCCGTCCACTCGTGCGACACGTCGTCGAATTGGCCGTACAGCTGCCCCATGGTCACACTCTTTGGATTGATCACAGACACCACCACAGAGGTGTACCTATGACGTAAACATCACGTCACGGTATTCAATTGATGATAAACAGGCATTACAAATGAAGGATTTAGGAGAGTACATGAAAGGGGGGAATCAATCAATACATGGGGGAAAGCAAGTCAAAGACTTGGAAATACGGGGATATGAATGGGATTTGTGATTGCAGAGGAAATGAAAGGGGATGATGATTGGAGAGTAGATGAAGGTGTGAAATAAATGGGAGGAAATGATAAAATAGGGGTTCTTCATTGAAGAGGAATAAATGAATGGGGTGAAATAAACAGTGGGGGGACTTGTACCTCACGTCATTTGGGAATTTTTTATGCAATGTGTCGAGCACATCAGCGAGCACTTTCCACGAACTGGATTTGCCAGAGAACGGCATGCCCACAACCATAAACCCGTGGCGAACGATCATCATTTCGTAGATTTGAATAACTTTTTCGATAAAGTTGGGTACGGCTTGCAGGCCCATTTGACTGCACACGTGGTGGATGGCCTCCAACATATCGGTGCGATCGGGGGGCTCCACGATGATACCCGGGAACAAATCTGACGTGATGCCGTTGAACAAGGGCACGTCGGGCGACAAAAACTTGGGCAAGTTGACGTCGATGATCGATCGCAAGACCAACGTATCTTCTTTCAAATGTCCCTCGCTTCGCTTTAGGTTCCCCGCCGCGCGTAGCACCGCCATGACCGCTCGCATACCTAGTCAAGATGTACACGTCGTGGGAATTCCAAAAAGGATGGTGGCATTGTTGATACTAGTAGGTATTAATATTGTTGTGTATATTCCAAACTGGAGCGACAGGGAGAATGAATCGACATAACCAAATAAATATACACAAGAATCTGCCGAAGTAGTAGTGAGCCAATCAAATTGCAGGAAACCAATCATCACCAACATTGAATTAGTGTGTAACTGAATTTAGTTCACCGAAGAATAACTTTTTACATACAATCTTCAGTACAAAGAATCAATCGATGGATTTGGGGATGATTCAGCACAAAAGCCCAAATTTTGAGTAAAAGGACAATACCATAATCGTAATGGGACTGGGAACTCAATTGCTCCGAACACAACGTGTAGGTGGTCGTGATTTTCTTGGATAAGGCACTGGCGTCCATATATCCGTACGAGTACAACATGATTTCGGCAATCATGCCATAATCTGGAACCATCATGGCCACGGTTCGAAAGAGTACTTTGAGGTTGTCGGGTAGTTCGGCTCTTCCGGCATACCCTACCAAGACGGCAACAAGTCAGCAAAATTGTCAATATTCGATAGTTGATCCTCTTCGCGATGGACACAGTAGTATACGAAATAATGCGGTAAGCTGTAGATCCACTGTGGTTTTGTGTATCGATGATCTGCACAACGAAATATATAAATCAGGAACTGAATTATTAATATATAATTCGATATAATCTCATATGAGTGATACAACAAGAATAGTTCAATGTCTTGTTCAATTTGAAGTACATGGTGCAAAGAGGCGACAAATACGGTAGTAACGTTACTAGTATACTCGTCGTTCAAACATCCAAGCAACGATACTACGTACAGCAACACACGACATATCACAAGTATTACATATTGTTGTGTATACTCAAAACTGGAGCCACGTGCCGAAGTTATCGACATAATCAAATGTGCAGAAGAATTAAGCCAATCATATTCCAAGAAACCATCAGTTCAACAACAAAAAACAATTAATTAGTGTGACGGACATCAACACAGCCGGACACGTTTTTACTTACAAAAATCAGTATAAAAAATCGATCCATGGATATAACTGTCCAAATGTTGCTCAAAGAACATAGCCACAAGACACGTTCGATACGGTACCTGGATTCATGGTAATGAATGGACAGCACGTCGGGTTGAGACTCAACAGCGTGCCTTCAAACATGAACGTAACAGCTTTTTGTGCTTTGGCGATTTGAATACACAGAACTTGCTGCGCGATCACTGACAAGACTTCGAGTTGGATGCGGTTGAACTCATCAAAACACGCCCACGCACCGCTGGATGCCAGTCCCTTGAAGAACTTGCCCATGGCCAAGTAGTCGAGCCCGTCCGAGCAGTTGGTGACCACGCATTGAATTGCAATCGCCTTGCCTAGATCTTTGGTGGTTTCCGTCTTGCCCGTCCCCGCGGGACCTTCTGGCGCGCCCCCCAAGTTCAAATGAATGGCCCCCATAAGCGTACGATAACACCGATCCGTGAGCGGCGTAATCACCAGCCGCATGGAATTTCCCAAGTATTCAAATGCATACAGGGCCAGCGTGTTGATCATGCGACACTGCATCGTGCCAGGCTTCCCAGTCAAGGCCGACGTGCCCCCCGCGACCCAATAGTACCGAAGTTGAGCGAGCCAATCAAATTCCGACTTGTCCGAGATCTTCTTGTCCACCAATTCGGCGATCGTGTCACGGTTGTGCACGTCCATGACTACAAGGGCGCCCAGCGTAATGCGCGTTAGCTTGGGCAGTTCGCCGCGCACGAGCTCAACCGTGCGCAACAATTCGGATCGAAGCATCTACATTCGCCCATTCAATACGACAAGCTATATATGACGTAATGAACCTGCAAATGCGCTTTCATCGGGTCCAAGTTGCTGCCCCCCACGAGGGCGGCTTCGGTTTGCGCGGTCCACACGGTCTGGTTGATGGCCAACACAACTTGACCGGGCCACTGCTGCACCCATTGCAATCGATCTTGCTTGGGGTAGTCTGCCATGCTCAAGTCCACGTGGTACGCCACGCTCTTGCGCATTGTCGTTTCCACCTACGAGTAGTCGATTATGGAGAGTGTCAAGGGGGCTAGGGTCTTCACACTCGACGCTATATACAATAAACGCGATACCTAAAAAAAATTAAAAAATATATAACGAGACCTCTTGGAGCCAAATTTCCACGTTGCCGCCCGTGGCGTTGGGGTTGATTTGACTTTGCGCAATCTTGTCAAACAGAAAAGGTACTTTTTCGTTCTCGGGACTTAGCATGGCCGTGATGTCCATGTTTGGCTGGAACTCCAACAAGTTGATCCCGTCAAACGCTTTCTTCAAGTGCGGTTGCACCCGCAGCGGGTCCTTGGTTTCGGCCAAAATTTCCAGTAGTTCGTCGTTCGAGAGGAAGAAAAACCGGGGAAAGTACAGCCGCTTCGTTTCCAAATATTCGTTGAGTCCTTTTTGAATCGTCTCGAGGTCGGCGTTGGACTGCACCAGCGTATCCAGCAGTCCCTTGCGCTGGGCAACTTTGGTTGCTTCCGGCTCGGCGATCGTGTCGTCCATATTTTGCCGCCACGTGCTGTCCACTCGTTTGAACAGCATTCCTACGTTGTCACATGCCAACGTTTTCAAGTCTGCCTTTCCAGCCGTTCATTTTGTTATACCTTCGGTGGGCATTTGCCGCATGATGTCGTCGCTACTGAAAATAGGCTCCAAATACAACCACGTAGCTTGAACCTTGAGCCATTGGTCGGTAATGTCTTGAATCGATACGAGGATTTTCTCCCATCGCCCAATGCGCTCCAAGTATGGCTTGTTGTACCGGCTGCCACGTATCGATTGAATTTTCACCATGTGGTCGTCCAGCTGTTGCTGCATTTCATCCGTCGCACACAAGATGGACGTGCCTATAAGATATCGATAGTATCAAACATACATATCAAATAAATATATATATATATATATATATATATATATAGATCGTCAAAACCCCCAAGGGCACTTTGAACGTTTTTTAAATTTATATATATATATATTTGCTATTTAATATACCACGACCAGCAACAACCAATCAAAAGATTGAACGCACATTGCACTTTGAGGACGTAAAGTACCTGTGGTGCGATATGGTTTTGTATGGAACTCGACACCTTCCCACTCTCGCTCCATCTTGTCCAGGGCTTGTTCGAGCGAGTACTCCTTGGCAGCGCCGACGCAAATGTCCTCGATTTGGGCCGTGAACTTTTGCAATCCGACTTCGAGCATGTGGTTCAATGTCATGTCCCCCGATGGCGGGTGCAGGTTGAGTTTTGTGATGCCTTCAATCTCGTCCCAGTGTCGCGGACACAGCGCGGGCGTGCAGATGAGATGCATGAGGGGAACGTGGCTTTCCAGCATTTCATCGAGCATCTTCTTGGCCTGGCGAGCGACCGCCACGGGGGCGTCCAGGACGTCGCCTACCTTTTCACACTCCTTGATCACTTTGACAATGTTGCGGCGGAATCCGTCGGCTTCTTTCTCGGCGTCTTCAGCATTCACCAGGTATAGAGGCTGGCCACGCCACAAGTTGATTTGGTCGGTGAATTGAGCGACGGTCGTCCACAGTTTCTCCATTGGCATGAGCATCTCCTGCAACTCCTTGATCATCTTGTCGTTGTCGGTGGGGGGCGTCATGTCGAGAATCGTCTGCTGGTCTCGGATCTTTTGCGCTTCGTCGTCAATGTCTGCGATTAACTTCATCACGGCCTCAATCCGCTTGGTGACGGCGGCCGCGTCCTGCATGTTGCCTGCTTCCCGCAGCTTTTCAATCTTCTTTTGGCACGTTCCAAACGTAGTTGTGAGGTGTTCTTGCCGGGCATCGACGACCAGCTCAAGCTCCCGTTTTCGATCTCGCTGGCGCTCAAGACTCTTGCGCTGAAAGTTGACCACCGTGTCTGGCCACCGAAACGTCATAAAGAACAGCTGCACCTCCTCCCTTGACATTTGAAACGCGTGCTCTTTCAGGAACCGCACCGACACGCACACGTTGGTGTACAACTCGTCGTGCAACGCCGCGAACGTGGCCATGCTGGAGTCGTAAAACGTCTGCAACGTCTTGAGCTCGGCCGAGTCGAGCGGGTCCGCCATCAGCGTCTGCACCGTTTGCTCGTACGTTTGGCCCATCGCCGTCATGCGGCGGATGTTTTCCGCCGACGCGGCCGCCAACAACACATGCGACAGGTCCTTCACACGCTGTCGCAGCACGTCCTTGGCGTCGACGCAATACACGGCAAACATGGGAAAGTAGTAGTGATCTTGAATCAATGACTGGATCGACGTGTCCAAGTCCTGCAGCGCCTTCAACTCGATGCCAAGCAAGGCCAAATCCAGAGGTGGCAGCTCCACCAACAACGTTAACCGCTGCTCCAACGACCCGTCTAGCAACACTTGAAATGGCATGAACGCGTCCAGAACGCGACCGGCTTGGGCTAAATGGGTGGTCATCGCAGCGGCAATTTGCTTTTTCGAAGCCACGACAAACGAATCATCCGACGTGAGCGTACATGGCCCTAGCACAGCCTTGTTGCGAATGCGAGCGGGAACGCTGGTCTGGGCATCGATGCGAGGAAATATGCTCGCGGCTACAAATATAAGTGTCAGCACCATGCAGATCAAAAGGTGAAAATGTGGCTAGCACCAACTATATATCGGTACGATCGATGCACAAGCAAAAGCATCAATATCAACAGGGACCAAGTAGAGATCCATTCCCCATAACCATAGTGATTCCAACCCAACAAACAGTATGCGGACATGTTTACTACTACTACTTGCCTTCGACCAACAGTGTCACACATGCTAAAATTCGCTCTTGGACGACCGACGCAGGCGGGTCCAATCGAACCAAAGCCGACCCCGACGCCAGGTGCAAGTCCCCCGTGGTGGACGCCTTGGAGGTCGAGGTACACACAACCTCCAAGGCGAGGATGGCCTCGCCGTAGTCCTGCGCACACTGGTCAAAGAACTCTAGAAACGCAGTCACGGACGCATCCACGTTGCTTCGCAGCTGCCGCGACATGAGCACCGACGCCGCGTTGAGCACGCCAATGTGGTGATTGTACAGAAACAAATCGTCTTCCACGAGCACGTCGTTGTCGTCATCGGTGGTGGTCACGGCGTGGCGGTGGTGGGGGTGGTTGGGTTGATGGGAATGCATCGACCGAAATGACGCCAAACTGGATTGGTGGCCCCCGGACGCCAGTTTCTACACACATAATACGCCCCCCGACACTACGTGAGAGAGGAAAATACAACAACGATAGTGTACAACCGCACCATGCCATTTTGAGGTTTGCTCGCGGGGGATGCAGGGTTGATAATCGACGACGGTGTCACAGCCACCACGGGAGGCAAGCACGCGTCCACCTTTTTCGCACTCGAGGTGATCCAGTGCGTGCGCAGACAGTCCTTGACGACTTCGACGCGGCGAGTCATGTGGTCGACAAAGCTGGCCACGGTGCGAGGCAGCGACGCGCGGAACGACGGCGACTGCACGTCCGTCCAAAGCAGCTGCGCATATGGCGTCCAAGGCAGGCCGTCTCGGCTCTACACATGCAAGAGAAACTCTAGACTTGGTCTTGTAATGGTACGCATAGTTGTGGTTGTGAAGTCAAGCGAAAAAACGAGACATTTCATAAGTGTGACGTATCGCCCGCATAGAATACAGCATACATTACGCCGCATAACTTGGACGACTATCCACGACGACTGAATCGATTGTATTGACAGCGACTTCATTCGTCGGAACAAAAACGAAATGCAACCATGCACACCATACACACACAGAGAGATTCAGCAACTTTTCACCACCTGACCTTGTTGTATAGTCTCAACATATACTCGAGTTTGCATTACATGGCCTTTACACAAAGGTTCAAGCAGCATAACAACGGTACCTCCCATTCCGCCGGTGGGCCTTCAAGCAACCACTGCGCCTGCAGGGACAGCAACGCGGGATCTGCCGTATGTAAAAATACTTCGACGTACTCGGCGCATTCTTTCACCGCGTCCCGGTTCACATGCGTCTGCCGCAGCACGCGCCACTTAAACGAGGAGTACAAGTCACTGGTCCACCACTGCGACGCTGCGTGCAAATAGGACGGCACGATGCCCATTATCGCAGCCTGGCGGTCGTCTAGAAGGGCATATTGCACCATGGCGCGTGCCACGGCGGCGGTATAGTCGACGTTGGCTTCGTCTAGCATTGCTCCAAGCATGGACTCGCAAATGGCGGTGTGTTGCGCGAGGAGGTCGGGGACGTGGCGGAAGGCAGGCGGGGGGAGCTGGAGGCGATGGAGGATTTCTACGGGCCACCGGGGGTTCATGGGCGTGACACTGGAAACGTTGGCTTCGACCGCTTTCCAAAAGTTGGCTTTGGTCGATTGGTACAAGTGGGCGTCGACTTGCAACGTGCGGGGGGTGAGAGGTTCCAGCACGGTTTTCGCCTTGACGTGGAAACTATGATGATGGAGAGTCGACGACTTGGGCAAGTTGAGGCGAATCGGATCACGCTTGGTGGGGCTGTGCGTTGGGCTGGGTACTTTAAAAGTATGGCTGGCGTTGGACGAGTTGACATGCCGGCTGAACGCTCGAGAGCCTTCGGGGAAAAGCGATACTGGTTTGGTTCCGCCGTCGGATGAAAGCGACGGCAGACTTTCCGCATTGGCAATTTCGTCGTCGCCAACACTCGACATCCGGTGGCCTAGCGTCCGCTCCAAGGCTGGAGACTTGGCGATGAATTCCCGTTTCTTGGGTGAGCCCGCGAGGGGAGTTTGCTTGTCTGGCTTTGGATGCGCCACCAACATATTGGCCACCCGTGCAACCTCTTGCTTGGTCAATGCGCGGGACGTGGGGGTGTAGTGGCACCCAATGCGATCGCTCAGCGTGCAGTACGTTCGCTCTTCGTCGCCAAAGGAGGAACCGCTACTACTACTACTACCCGCTCCACCGTTCAGAAACGAACCAACGACGGGGGAGGGTTTGGAGTCTAGGTGGGCGAACGGACTGCTGGTGCTACTGGGACGTCTGGAGCCATGGAACGACCCCAGGGGCCCCAGCGCGACAGCAAGATTGGGGCCTACCGGCAACGTCTCCAACGGGTCGCTCGACGTGTGCTTCTTGAGCTTTTTTCGAATCGGACTTGACGAACTGCCACCCTCCAATCGACTCGCCAGCGAGCTCTGGAGAATGTCCAGCCGCACTTTGCGCACCGGACTTCGCTTCAGTTCCGTCGTGGCTTGCAACAACGGGTCAGTCAACGGATCCACACGACCTCTCGACAGCGCCTTGAACGTCTCCAGGTCGTCCCACGCTTCTGGCGATACTCTAGCCGACGTCGGTTGTTGCTGGTCCGATGGAGGAACCCCGCCGCCGCTGCTCATGATCGCGACACACGCTCAGCACGGTGGTGTCCTTTCACGGGGTAGGTAGTATCGGATACGTAACCGTAGATGATGGTTGAAGGGGCGCGGTTCGAAGCGGTTTCGGATATTCGTGTGACCGTCCATGCCTGTGTCATGGAAGGGTTGTTGTATGCGAGTCTACCCGCTGTGTGTTGCCATCATACAAGCATCTATGCCAGTACTGATATCACAGTGCTAAAATTTCTACTGATATTAGTCTGACTTCATGGCAGTCAGCAATATAGGGGGACCATAAAGCCATAAAGACACAATACACAGCTCGTTCGCCACTGATATTGCCTTCTATGATGTGTAGTGTAGCGTGAACCGTTCACACTAGCAATTTAAGTTAGCGTGAACTATGTACCCCAAGTCCTCTAGCTTGGCGTGCACTCTAGGCCATCATGAAGTTCTCGTTATATATGATTTGCGTTAGCCCTAGTAGGGGCCAGCATAGTCATGGACCAAGCCTCCCTGATTGTTTCTTCATTTATTAGCCAAACAAATCAACTACATCAGGGGTCCTATACGTCGTGGACGCTACTCAAACGAAGCGCCGTGCCGTGCCCCAAACCCTCCGAGCACCGACTCCATGTTCATCACAGCGCCAGCCACGTTGATGCTCTTGTTGCGGCGGATAGGCACGCCAGGCGATGCTTCCGTACTACTAACCGAAAACGTCGGTGGTTGCGCGGACGATGGCGGCAGAGTCTCCTTGACAGGGTGCTGCGCCATGCTGGACAGGGTCAGACTGCTTGAAGAAGTGTAGAACGACGGTACGCGGCCCAAACTGCTGATACCCGTGCGTTTTTCTTCTTCTAGCGCTTGCTCGCCACGCAAGTAACTGCATATGAAGGCCATGTTTGAGAAAGATATAATCAAGTCAAGTCTGTGTCCACGTGGCCAGCATAAAAAATATCACAGGTAAAAAACTATATATATATATATATATATATATATATGGTATGCTCGATTCGAATTTAGAGTGCGGTGCGCAATCGAACGAGCAGCGACAAATATCGACAGATAATCGCCCGACCAATCAATAGCCAAAACATGTTTCAAGTCGCCAATCAAAACGTTTCTGCAACGATCAATAAATTAGTGTGTGACGTCAAATAGTGTGCATGGATAGCTGCACAAATTTTACATGTGAAGTTCAGTACATAACATCGACCGATGGATTTGGCGAATCAGCGCAAATATCCTAATTTTGGCTGAAAACAGCAAAACACCAGTGCATATGTACAGTACTGTACAGTACCATACAAAAATATTATGTAGGGTGTAGCAGCAGAACCATCACAATGTATATAGTCGACAATGTTCATAGAGTCCAAGGAGTTTTGTGTTTTCCAATGGCCACGACAAAACCACAGGCCCATATATATATATATATAGGTATTTCAACGTACCGCACGGCGCGCTCGAGGGCAAACTCAATGCGACACATGGCTCGGATGCGAGACAGATGGGGCCATGTCGACCGCTCGCCGGCTAACACCAAGTCCTGGAACGAACTCGGCGACGGATTCGTCAGTACTTGTGCCGCCAGTTGCAAGAATGAAACTTGGGACGCTATCGAAATCGTAATGTCGCCTTCGTACGTCTAACACCAACACACCCGATTCAGATTTCGTATATATATATAATATATATATATATTGCCCAATCGATTCAAAACTGGAGGCACAAGCAGAATCGAACGTTCCATGTAAGAGAATGCAGTAAAGGATCGCCTAAGCCAATCAAATCACTTCGTTCGGGTGAATTTCTGTCAATCCAAAGTACTACTGACACAGTCGTCCAGGCCATCCGCATGAGGCAAACCCTGATATATGTAGTATACAAAATACTAGTACAGTCTAGCCTGTAACAAGCTTATATATGGTCAAATTGCAATTGGCTAAAAATTGACTCGAAAGTCCATATATGGGTGAAAAGCACAATATATTTATATATTGTCGATTTGGTACAAATTTGGGAGGGGGTGCAATCGAATCGCGCCGACCAAATCGATCCACAATCGATCTGATTGGTTGAATTGCATTGAGAAGGTTTTGATTGGCTAATAATTTTGAGCTCATCTGGGGTAGCCAATCAAATCGATTTAAATTCCAACGAGAAACCACAACACAATGAAATGTCACTCGAAAGCACAATAGTTGTTTTCATTCACAAAACTGCAACCACATGTCACATGGGCCGAGAAAAAACAACTAACAGTAATACGGTACAAGCACAGGGTATAAAATATCTTGTATGTGACGAAATATTCATAAATATCCCTTTAATGTCCATAATCTTCGAACAGTAATAATTATCTCTAGAGCATATCGAAGCAGCCACCCATGTTTCAATGGAAAACACCCAGGGAAATCACACAGGTACCATCCATCTGCACTGTACAATTCCATAACACCCTTTAGAGACTATTTACCAGCCCAATATCGTTTTGGCTGGTACTGTAGACACGTACTACCTGGGTCAGCAATGGCACGAGCCCGACGCCAAACAACTTGAGCACGGACGTGTTGAGCCCAAATTCGGCAATATTTTTGATGTACGCTTTCATCTGCTTTTTCAAAAAGCCCAAAATGTCGCCGCCGCCGTGCGACTCGTACCCAGAAATGAACTTGTAGTGGATGTTCACTTGGCTCACAATAAAGTGGTTTACGTTGAACAACTCACTGAGACGCTCCATGGGCAAATCGCACTCGACGCTACAAAGATACACATCATGTATAGCCACCACGTCGACTCCATCCCTCGACTTGAAGCCTCAATCAAACACGACCAATACTCGAATACAAATATAATCCCAAATCATCGGCTACAATGAATTCCACATAATATAATACGTATACCTGCCATCACTCCACTTGAGCCCTTCACGATATACTGGCACGATGTTGCCATGCTACAATTCACAGGTGAATACATTACTGGTTATATAAACAGGTGCATATGGACTTGACAAGACTTTTGCTTTTCGCCCGAATTTGCCACTTTTGGGGAATTGTTGAAATTACAAACTTATCAAACCATGCAGTATGATTCGCTAAAATAAAATAAATATACCCCTTAAAACTCGATATATATCATATTTAGCAGGTCCGGTGATTGTTGGCGAGTTCATTCAAATAAAAACCACCGGAGAAAAGTTGGAGCAGAACACACAACATATTGCGATGATCATATAGCAATATCCGTGGATGGGACCATGTGATAGAAGTATATATTCTGTCAAGGCGTATTCGAAATTGGAGTGTTTGGGTGCATGAGTAGCATCAAATCGACAGACAATCGATATACGACCAATCAAAACCCAGATCACAAATCAAGTGGCCAATCAAAACCACACTTCGACGAATTCAACATCGAATTAGTGTGTGAATTAAATTCGTGTAAAACTGGACGATCTATCGACAGATTTGGTGAAGCAGCCAGCACCCAATTCCAAATCTTGAGTAAAAGGACAATACCAACGTGTAGATAGGTAGATTAGGTAGGTACCTGGTCTTTGCCATACAGTTCCACAGGTGAAAACACCATGGGGATCGCACACGACGCCAGCGACGCCGACCACACGAGCACATTGGGCGCAGTCAGATAATTCAGCAATTGCGGGTAGTCTCTACAAACACCCCAACAGACTTCATAAATAAAAAATAGATTTTTCAACTAATAATCTATCGGATTATGTCAGCAATATAATAACTACCAACAACACAATCCAGTATTGAACCCAGGGTACGATATCGTTTTCAACGATGATGGCTCCAAACGCGAAGCAACGCGCCATAGATTGCAACACAGCCGAGATATATATCCGTATCAGGACACTTTCCGTTGTATATATATATATATATGAATATATGAATACATATGGTCCTACGTGGATTGCGACACTTTCCGTTGTATATATATATATATGAATATATATGGTCCTACGTGGATTGCGATGGGGTCACCGTGATGTTGATGATACGCCCGGTGCGATCGTACGCCTCGCGGAACGTGTAGTTGCCCATGTTGTTTTGCAAGGTTTGCTACAAGTTTGGTTCAAAAAGTAATTCGAAATTAGCAATGTAATCGATCGACCAATATAACCTCTGAAATACGTACACTAATCAAGTCGTCAATTTAAGTCTCTCGTCAACCCTTCACACAACGAATTCGTGTGTGACTTGTATTAGTGTGAAACTGTACACTATTTTTGACCAACAACATTCGGTATAAAAAATAACTCGATCAAAATGGATTTGAGAATTCATCTGCACAAAACTCGAAAGATCGATTCGTTGCCCATGTTGGCCTTTGGATTGTATGTGATATAACCTACATGTATACAAGAATAATCATCCGCAGTACTTGTTATTGCAATCCAATTGCAGAATATTTCATTAGAGCAAAACAAATTACAGAAAAATGTATATTTAATATATCTTTAAAATTTTCATTCTATTCACCTTCAATCCATCAACCTTGAATTAGTCTGAGACTTCAATTAGTGTGTGATTGGCATCACCACACGACAAATTTGACGTACAAAATCCAGTAGAACAAACATATAAAATCCATCGATCGATGGATTTGAAACTATTACCTTGAGTCGACTAATGTCAAGGATGTACCCCTTGTCCAGGAACCGACCGGCAAGCACGACCGCTTCCTGGAGCTTTGCGAACCCGGGCACGAAGCCTTCCACGGCCGCCAGCCACGCCGGCGTGTAGTGCGCTCGTTCCCGCGCCGTCACATTGGCATCGAAAAACGATAAGTCCAAATGGCCATCTTGAAACACCTATGATAAAACCTCTATGGATTGCGGTAACTCTGGACATGTACAAAAAACACTTGCACATTGCAATATATATATATATATATTACAGCGTGGCAGTGTTTGAGTCCGAATATCCAAGGATTTCTATGTTAAGATTATCTACATCATGTTTTAGTCTAAAACAATTTTATGATTTTTTTTTAATAGATAGAAACAAATGATGACCAACATTAATTGCATAAATATATTGTGATTTGTTCTACTCAAAATTTCCTCTGGCGGTTGGGTTGAATCATACTGAGTTAAAAAGGTATCTTTGTGACTGCAATGCGTCAATCAATATTTTTAGCCAATCATATTGCAACCTTCATATTCTTTGCAGCCAATCATATTCCTTTTCTCGATTAGTTGGCGATTTCATCAATCCCCCAAAATAGGCAAAGTTGACTGAAAAGCATAATATATATGCGAGTATTGTTGGTTGTGTGCGGCTACGGTATGCCAACAATGCAAACGTGTCTCCAAAACCTTTTCATGTTAAATCCGATAATACCACCCGACAACCACATGTAAATAAATACTGTGTATTATATATATATATATAAGGTACGCTCTAAACAATGGTATGCACAACGATTTATATATTCGTTTCATTCATAGCCTCCAACAAATCAGAACGATACATTCGTTCTATAACATCCAATGAGAATGATATGTATTCATAACCACACATCAAAACACACGCATACATTACCACCAACGAAGCATATTTTTAACCAAAAAGCCCAGACCAAGCGACAACAAGTCCAGTGTACCTCGCTGAGCTCTTCGTCCGTTCGCACGCCCACACACCCGGCGACGATCGAGCCAGCCGACGACCCAGAGAGGACTGTCGGCAGCAGCCCTTCCTCCACCAACGTCTTGACGATACCCGTGTGGTACAGGCCGAGGCCGCCGCCACCACTGAGCATGAGGGCGGACCTTCCAAACGCGTGCCTTGTCTCGCTGAAGAACGCGAGCTTGTTGTCCAGGCTCAGGGCGTCGTCGTCGTCGTGAGACTTGGGAAGGGTATGAGATGACCAAGAGCCGCGACTCTGAAGGACCAGGTCCATCGACGTCAGAACTGCCTCCATGTACTCGTCCACGACGTGCTTGGTGCCCACTACAGGACACGAAAAGTCGATCACAATCATTCGACTACATCCCACTACAGTGTAGTACTCGGTAATAATATGTACTAGTATGTTCGTCGTATCGCTATATATACAATGGCTACTCGTTGTTAATAATATATATATTCATAGCCAACTAGTACTCGGTAATAATATGTACTAGTAATATGTTCGTAGTATGACTATATATACGATGGCTACTCGTTTTTAATATATATATATATATACATAGCCAACTAGTACTCGGTAATAATATGTACTAGTAGTATGTTCGTAATATCGTGGTTACACGTTTTTAATATATATACATATATATATATATATATATACTACGTAGTATATATAGTAGTATTATGTAGTGTCACAACTATTGTATGGATTCACTTGGAGTTATAACCATGTCATCCTACCGTGGCTGACACCGTACAATCGGGGATTACCGAGCCCCCAATGCTTCCGAAGCAGTCCGGCGCGCAACGAGAACATGATGCCCATGATGTCACGCTCGCTTTGAAGACGGCGGTACATCGCGATCTTTCTCTGTACGCGCTCGTAGAGGAAGAGTCCGGACGACGGATCGTCTCGCCACTTGTCGTGTCCTTCCAGAACGTCCAATTCTTGTCCGAGAGCCTACATCAACATGCCAGTTCAAAGGTCAACACCTATGACGACGACGTACACTTCGCTTCTCAAGGGTAGTCGCGCGTTCCATGGCAGTGCGCAGCTTGAGACGTTGGCGACCCTTGGCACTGCACTGCAGCAACAGCTTCAATCCCACCCGGCGGGCGGCTGCTCCGAGTTCAAACAGCACTTGGAGGGAGACCACGGCTGCAAAGAAGCGAAAGAACACGTCCGGGACGAGCAAAAGGCGTACGGAACGCCAGAGCAAGTTGAGTAGATTCTGCGCCATAATCACCATGCCGTCTTCGGTCGAGGCACGGTACTTCCAATCCAAGATCAAGTTACGGATCAACTGGGCTTGGTGCTACATCAACATCGTCATCCGTCAAGTATCATCGTTCGGCGAGGTGCTTGTACCTGTAGCCCAGTCATGTACAACCATATACGCACAGAGAATCGCGCAGAGCGACCAAGGAGTGTCGACGGCGGCGGCATTTTTTGGGAGAAACCTAAGATATATAATCGAAATATCCGGAAATGACCGGATAATTGGTTGAACTTGACCCGACAACGTTTACGTAGACAGAAAGTAACCAATGAAACATCTATTCTGGTATTTCCCGCCAATTAGAAACGGCTATATCAAAAATAATGGAATAAATGCTATTGGCTCTTTCAGCTCTGTAGGTGTTGTGAATTGTGCGTTTGCCCTTTAAGCTTATTGCTGAATCATGCATAGTGTATACCACACGTTAAGCGACATCTTCGATGTACAGTACAGTTCATACCGGTAGGTGTCTGTCTTTCGGACATCCTCGGTCCTCCAGTCTTGTGGATAAATTGTCCGTTGGTCTAATTGAACGAATGACTGGTTATTTAAACCGTAAGGTATTACTACGTAGTACACAATAGCAGTACCTAACCTAAGGCCAACTGCCAACTGTAATACAACAGAACCAGCCATGTGTGAGAAGTACGGCAGCACTGACACGATCACATAGCGTAGATCGTAAACAAGGTCAATCAGGAGTCTTACATCTCACTGCATGACTCTTACCATCTTCCTGCAGTGTACTCATCGTGTACGCGGTCCATGGCCTCGGGAAGAAGGATCTTGACTCTAGTCTGACGTTGTGAAATGACTTAGGAGGTGTAGAATTAGCGGGAGCTCCGGCGCAAGTGAAATACCGCGTTGTTTTACTTATCTTGATGGGTATTTGACAATCTAATTGGCTAAACCCGAAATCCTTTGAACCAATCAGAATAGTTAACTTTGCTTCGATCACATTAACTAACTACTACGTAGTAACCTGCACTATATGAGAAATATTAATAGTATAAACATAATTTCATACTAACAGTAGTACCGTATTGCGTATTTCTCGCTCGTTAGACAGCCTGTAAGTACCGAATTGCATAATTCTCGTTAGACAGCCTTTTCACGGTAGACACTCTCAAATATAATATAATTTGAGTCAAAGGTGGAATCAATTATCATAGGCATTCCTTAGCGGGAGAATAACCTTCAACATATAATATATCGCGTGAAAACTAATACTATTCTGGTCCAAAATAGCTGTCATGTTGCATATTGCATATTATCCATGGTGCAGATATTATAGACTTGATTTTAGTATACAGAAAGTAATACTTCGATACATGTTTATACTTGGCTGTAGTATGGTATTGATAAATATTACATATTTAAAACCAAATAAAGAATGTGACATGGACCAAGTCAAGGACTTGGGAAGATTTTAACACTGCAAGGCCTGCACACACCACAATGCGCGGAATACAGCACAGTAGCTTAATCTAAGGGCTACGAGTATGCATCCTTTAGCCTTTGGCTCGAGTTCGTTGTCGCCGGAGGCCTTACGAAGGCGCTACGGCCATGTATGGTGCTTGGAGTCTGTTGAAGGTGGTTGGCGTCAAATATATCGCTGTAGACAGGATAGCAGTACATCATGGGCATTGGAAACCACGAGTTAAACCTCTGGGCAGGAAACGGGGGTGAAAACTTGAGATTTGATTCACCTGCGGGTCAAATTGTATTTTCTACTTTGAAGGATCGTTTATCAAGTTCTGCAATTTCGTCAAGTCATCGAATTTTAAGCTGCTTTAAGTACCCAATCAAAGAGGAGATCATCAGCTTTCATTTTCACCAATCAGAATCGAAAATGAGTTTGTGTGCGATAAAATACTCTGTTTTGAAGTCTAATATGACAGCTATTTTGGACCAGAGTAGTATATATTATTCATTTATAGCGGTTTTCTTGATTTTAGGCGCCAACCATACTTGAAAGTGACGTCCATCAACTCACACCACTTCGTGTTCCTCACAATGAGTGGCCCACGCCCGTCAACAGGACGCCCTGTGCCCAAGCACGGGCCAAAGAAGAAACCAAAACAGCACAAGAATCGTACCTCCGACTACCACGAGTAGTTCACGGTTATCACGTCCTTCGACGCCCAAGGAATGAGTGCCACCCTCGACCAGTGCCATGCACAACCGCCCGTGAAACGCAACGCAAGAAGATCTATCAGTGGGTTAGCAAGCGTGCACACATTCAGCTCATGGCATCGAATCCAACAACATCTAAGTGTCGTACCCGCCGAGCTCACGGGGCGACGACACTCTCTGCAGAGAGTGAAGCAATGCTGGTGAGTTGGGTCCGCAAGGATGAAGTGTCTGTGACGTCATCCATGCAGCGCATCATGGCGATGGAGGCCGCCATCGATAAACACATGTACGACAACCCAACTGCGTGGTGGAACTCGAAGATTTTACTGGAGTTCTTGGAGTTCAACTTTGCCCGCCGTCCGGATCGTGCTACCAAAAAGGTTCTTCTACTCTGGGATGACTTCTCGGCCCACTTCACTGACAAGGCTGTAGCCTATGCCAAGTCAATAAATCTTGTCCTCGAGCGCATACATCCGCGCTTTACGTGGATATGCCAACCCGTTGACGTGGCATGTAACCGTCTGTTGAAGTCGCGCCTTCTTGAAAAGTGGCTTGAACTCCTTCGACGCCAAATCCAACGCTCCAAGACGACCTCGTCGAGTTCAAGATGCAGCCACCTTCGCTCTCTACGGTTGTATCTTGGATTACCTCTGCATGGTCTGACTTACCCGAGTCGACAATTTTGATTTGTGGCGTGCCACCTATTAGTTGTGAGGTGCAAGAAGTTGCCGATGGCGGAGGTTTTGTAGACGATGATGTTTTAGAGGAGTTGATGCAAGGATTTGCTGTAGATGAGATGATCGATCGAGCTAGTGACATTGATTATTGTGATGACATACCTGAAAGTCAGCAGTGATGTCGTTCTGTGATTGGATAGTTTTGAATACCTTAATAAACATTCCACTGCATAATTGAATATTGAGTACCTTTTCATATTTTTTGTCGCTGCCTGCGTTGGCGAGAGTATCAAACTATTTGTATGTCCATTGTGAATGGGTGTGTAAATATTCAAGCATCCGTATACGGATAAAGTCAGATGAGTCTCTAAAGTGAATTACGCAATACGGTACTCGAGTACAGATAACTGCCTGTGAATAGGAACTGGCCCATAGTAAGTACACCTGAACATATAGAACGAAGTATGATGACAAAAATGTGATTACAAAACTATTTTAAAAGATACGCAGGTACAACATTTGAATAGAGTACTGATTTGTCACATTTTAGCCAATCATCTGAGCAGGGATCGAGCCATGTGCCAATTGCAATGACTGGTTACCTTCGCGAATTAATTCGTGGTACAGTGCGTAAGCTGGCGAAATGCTGGATGACAATTTCAAGTAGCACTTTGAGTATGGGGGTGAAGCTTAGCATGGGACCCCATGGGCAGTGCGACCTTTTTGCTAGCATACGTAATAACAGGTTTGTATCACAAAACCTTCAAATATTAACGAAGCGGTCCATCAAGGTTTGGGAAAATACGAACAATATCCTCCTTCATATTTTCCCAATATCCTCCTTCATATTTTCCCAAACCTTCATGGACCGCTTCATCATCGCTAGGCGCTTCTCTGTGGCAGTGACAACCTTGACCTCTTTCAGTCACTCCGTACGGCACATTCACTTGAACGGGCTCATGACACCAACGTCGAGGGGATGCAAGACGCTTGTTGTGTTAGCAGGCAATGGCTGCAGGTTAGCTCCGCAGAACAGCTCATCTTCAAGGATCTTGCATGATTTCTTTGACACGTCACACTTGAGGTTCTCGGCAAGGACAACAATCGGACAGTCGACTTATCGTTTCAAAATTTCACGAAGGTACTGAGACCACACGCGTGGGTCCATGTATCATGCCTTCTGCCCAGCGTATATAGGGCCACTGGGTTACGTTGCGATTTTTCACCTCAGGAGTTTCCTTTTACAATGATCAGCATCGGCAATTATATTCCTATACATAAAATAAGTTAACGTGGTTGAGGGTCAGTACCATCTGCACAGATCGTTAGTACAACTGTGATGCGGTCGGAGTTTTTCTGTGTTTCTTGGACACGCGATGACCCTCCGTCCTTCGCCAGCAATTTACCAGGAACATGTCGAAGTACATTGGGGTCTCGTCGAACTTCATCCAAGCGCGCTTTGGTATGTGCCTGAACTTCACATATAGTTTGGTCGATAAAGCGTCTTGAATTGCAGACAATTCGCCTTGGGAAGCTTTCAACGCGTAGGGGACACACTGCCTGAAATCATGTCGGTTTGCAAAGTTCAAGCACCACTGAATCAGGCTCTTGTATGCTCTGTCGTCCGACGGCTTCGACGAAGTGTACTCATCAAGCCATTGAGGGTTGTTAAACTTGACCCATGTCACGAGGTGAGTGGTCGTGAGGAAATGCTCGTCTTCGCAGACAGCTTCCATGAAGGCGACCACATCACCTGCTTAAGGTATTTGTTCGATCCGTCCGTGACCATGCAATGTCGCTCGAGACCCATGGTGGGTTGAGCCGAGGTACATCGAGGCTTTCGATAACCATCGGCGGAACGTCGCAGCTGGAATGTTGTACGTCCGGGCGAAATCCAGATCACTTGCGCATGTCCAAATTGCCTTGTGTGCGGAGGAAGACTCCGATTTGCGGGGCAGAGTACAGACGTTGGTGATGTCTTGCGATCGGCTGCAGAAGTCGCATGGTTGTTGAAAACTGCAAATGCGGCGTTGTTGGTGTGATAGTGGTCACATTTGAATCACCCAATACAAATCAGTCATTTGATGTCTGATTTGACCAATCATAACGCGGATTCGTACTTTAGTCCTATTGGCTGAATTCATTTGAATTTTTGTAGTACGAATTTCTAATATTACGAGGTACTGCTGTAGCCCAATATTCAGTTATCTGTAGGTCATACAAATGTCCCTTATAATTGGTGTATTGACAATGAATATGATTTTGGTTCCGCTTTCGGCTGTCAGAATAGTTATTGTTGAACATAATGACCCCAGACAGAATTTTAACTCGGGTTGCATATTGAAGGCCTTGTCGCATGCAGCCAGTAACGTTCTCGCATTCATACACAAACAAATCCAACAAAATATACCACGTGAACTAATCACTACGCGCCGCCAAGACCCAAATCTTCAACAAGAACATACAATGGCGACGCAACGACACTGCAACCGCATCCAGGACCCCATAACTTCGCCGCCATCACCTGGGCCTTCATGGTCAAAAGTAATTATTGATCGTCTCTCGTGTCCTTGATTTCTTCAGAACGTTTCTCGATTACTATCCACCAGTGTTGCTGATCCTTATCTTGCCAGTCTCAGCATGAAGGGCTTTATTGGGCTCGTTCTAGAGAGGCTTCCCGTGCAAGACACCCACACCGTCACGGAGGCACCAGTCCGAGGCATCCCTCCTCCACCCCCAGGTAAGACCCTTTCCTCTCGAACCCATAGCGACCCATAGTGAAATCAAAATAAACCGGACACTGCATAGTAAAATCAAATGAACTGTCGATTTAATTTCCCCTCAATCACCGCCACATGTCGTTTGAGCATTGTGTTGTTGTTAATTCAATCTTATCCGGAAACGTTTTCCGATGAGTCCACACAAAGTTACATACTGATTTACAAAGTAAGATATCAGTAGTGTCGCTTGCATTAGGTCACGACATTGGAATGAGTGGCCAGCATCATCTGTAGACTTCTCTTGAGTGTTCTGGATGACACATGCCTATATTATTCAAGGACTGGCCGCTCTCCGTTTGACATTCGAATGAGTCACGTGACGTCATATCTAGAGAATTAATTAGGTTGGTGCGATGGCCCAGAGGCATCTGTTCACTTTGGAATTGCCCTTTAATTGAGCACCTTAATACCAATACCTTTCAACCTCACCACTGTGTTGTCCGCGTTCACCTCAATACTTCAAATATTAACTCCGATATCCAACGCCTCGTGTTCAGTGGCAAGCGTGAGTACTTCCAAACCTGGATGGACGCTTTCTGTGGTGAGCTGCAGAAGCGCTGGCTTAAGGCCTGCATTGACGCCCAAAACGCCAAACGTGCCATGTGTGACGTGTCCTACGACTCGTGGCTTACTGGTGCGCCGGATACGCTACCGGATACCCTAACGGAAGAATTTACATAACGTGGAGATTCGCTCCCTTTTGTCAAAATCCCTACCGAAGAACTAACTTAACCAGCTCAACGTGTCCCTAATTGACGCAGCCGTTACCGTCACCGAGATCTGGCGCATGCTCGAACGCGAATTTGGGGAGTCGAGCGCAACGGTGTCATTAACCACCTCACTAAGTTCGTCGGCACCCTTACGTCCGACTACCGCCATGTGGGTGACCGACCACTTTAAGGTAATGGGTACTCTACGGAACTGCATCAACACTCAGAGCGTCAAGTGCTTCGGCGAGCCAATTGTGTCGGAGGAATTAGTGAGTGCTCTATTTCTATCGCTCCTCCCTCAGCAGTACTTTGGGTCCTCGGTAAAGTTTACCAAGGACTCATTTACTATGGACAAAGTGTTTCAGTTGGTACTGAACACATTTTGGTCCAAAAGTAAGCGGGACATTTTGTCCATGTCAACCGGATTTGGAAAATCCCTAAATAAGTCCGAATTTCCGGTTGGCCAAATTCTGGCCAATGAGCGCAAGCGAAAACCGGATGGCGGCTAGAATGAATGTTTCTACTGTAACGGCAAGTGCAACGATGGTGCCAAGGCACACATGAAGAAGGACTGCCCGAAGCGCAAGGAAGATTTTGCGAAGGCGTACTACCGCACGTTCATCTTTAAGACGGCGAAGAGTGGCCCAGCTAAGGTGGCGGCGGTGCGCTCAACTCGAAGTGAAGTGGCCGTTGATCAGGTGGAAGTGTATATACCAAGCGGTGGCGAATGCACAGCCATGGACATGGAGGTGGCGGTTGCTAGCCTAGACGACCTCACCATGCAGCTCGAGTATGCAGTACGACTAACCTCGTCTCATATATTACATGAGAGTAGTGTGGTGACTAAGAATCATGGGGTCTTAGATTCTGGATGCGGAGTGAGCCTAACTGGTAGAGCCAAAGTGTTTGTACCAGCTAAAGTTGATACTGTACCTCATATAAATTTAGCTGGCTCCTAGGATAATTCACATGTTGGATTGATTCGTTCGTGTTTGTTGGGACCTCTTGGGCTCAAAAAGATTGAGTTTGACAACGTCGCCTATGTCCCGGGGTCAGCTACCAACATAATTAGCGAACACCTCCTGCAAAAGTGTGGATACACAGTGGTAAATGGTCACATCCCTAAGCTTAAGTTCATCCCGAAAGGTCATAAACTGCAGTTTGTAGCTGTAGCAATTGCAGGGCCCTACTACATCAGGCACATGAGTACCAAGGAACGCCAAGCTTTGTGTCAAAGCGTCAAGGCACAGACATATAGAGGAGATACTCTAACACTAAGCAAAGTGGAATATATACTGAAGGAATGGCATGTGAGGCTCGGTCACGTTGGTCGAGCAATGCTTGTTCGACTTCTCAGCAGTCGACAAGTGAAAGGTGTGCCAAAGATTGAGGCCAAAGTACTCAACGAAGTTGCATTCTACTCTAAGGTGTGTGCAAATGAAGTGCAAAAGAATGTCCTATAGGAGCATACAAGGGTCGAGGGACAGCGATGTCCACAGCACTCTGCATTCTGACACGAATGGTCCCATGAGAGTGAAGGGGCAATATGGTCCTCAAGCTGGGATAAAGTACTACGTAAACCTGATTTGTGAGAAGTCATCATGGAAGTGGTGTTTTCCTATTTGCAAGAAAAGTGATGCTGTAAATAAGATCAAGGAATGTGTGCGTCAAATCGACAAATGTAGATCCTCTGTGCGAGTACTGCGAAGTGACGGAGGCAAAGAGTTCGTCAAGAAGGCCCTGTAGGACTTTTGTCGTCTATAGGGAGTTCGATTTGAGAAGTCCAATCAGTACTCTCCAGAAGAGAACGGATCAGCGGAACGTGACCACGAAACTAAGTTTGGTAAAATTCGATGTGCCCTACCTAAATGATGCACAAATGTCAGCAATGGTGGCCAGAAGCCCTAATATATGTCAACTACATCCAAAATAGGGCATCTAGTGCGAGGTTAGCATACAAAAGCCCATGCGAAATAATGTATTGGAAAACTCCGGATCTAGCTGGATTCAAGTTTGGGGCTGTGTATGCTACGCTCATGTCGCACATGACATCCGACACGACAAGAAGCTCTCAGCACTCGAGTCAAGTGCATAGGAATCGCTGATGACTACAAAGGATATCGGCTTCTAAATGTACACACGAATCGGTTCTTCATTCCTCGAGATGTCCAATTCGATCGTGAATATGGTGAGAAGGTCGTGAGGAATGCATTCGATTCGAATGAGTCCGACCTTACTAGTAAAGAAAGTAAGCAAGTTTCAACTCTCGAATTGAATTCAGGTGAAATTCAAACGCCTGCTACAACGAGTACAATGTCAGTGAGACCTCTTGTTCAGTGACGAAGTTTCCAAGTCAGAACGTAACCGAAGGAGTTTGTAATTTTGACAATCCGGATTGCCAAGAGGTTGGACTGTCGACACCTCGACCGAGGAGAACACAGAGGATTCCGTTTGAAGGACTATAAGTGTTACCAAGTCCACGTGTTAAGGATCAAGGTCATGTCCCACTCGGAGTCAACATGACCATCGTAGTGCCTCTGTCACTCAAGGCAGCTATCTACTCACAACCTCAACGAGAAAACTCGATGGGAGCAGTGACCTCAGAATATGGCTCATTGATGGATAATGCCACATGGGATTTAGTTAGTTTGCCCCAAGGAAAAACTGCATTACCATGTCATTAAGTGTTTACTGTAAAGTACACATCCATCGGTAAAATTGAAAGGTATAAGGCGCGACTTGTCTCCAACGGCCAGTTTCAACAGTATGGACTAGACGACGATGAGGTATATGCTCCTGTGGCGCGATTTAAGTCACTAAGGCTAGTACTTGCTGTTGCAACGGTCTTAGATTGTGAAGTTCATCAAATGGACGTGCATACTGCACTCCTAAATGGGAAACTGGACACTGAGGATTTTATGCACCAACCTCCTGGATTTCAAAAGAGAGGGCTGAAAGGTGAGCCTTTGGTATGCAAACTACTGAAGAGTATATATGGCTTAAAACAAGCACCATAGATATGGTATGCTGTCCTCCATGGGTTCCTTCTACAATTGGCTTTTCACGATGTGACAAAGAGTATTGCATCTATGTGAAAAGAGTGGGAGGATTAAATGAGTTGATAAATGAAACGTGCACGATTGATGATTGGATAATAATCGTCTTGTATGTCGGTGATTTGACTTGGTGTCACCAAAATCAGAAGAAATCAACAAGCTCAAAATCGAAGTGAGCAATCGGTTCAAAATGAAAGACTTGGGCAACATCCATGATGTCCTCAAAATCGAGGTTCAAAGAAACAGAAGTGACAAGACCAAGACCATGACAATAAGCCAACAGAAGTACATCAATGACTTATTGGTGAAATTTGGCCAAGAAAATGCAAACGAAATATCAACTCTTCAGTTAGTGGGAGTCGAGTTAGAACCTGAAACAACGTTGTCGAAAGAGCAAATTGACAAGCAGCCATTTGACTATAGAGGCATAGTCGGATCACTGCAGTACCTGGTTCGAGGTACCCGTCAAGATATCGGTAACGCCATTCGAGAACTAAGTAAGTTTCATTCGTGTTACAATGAGACTCATTATTATGCTGCACTGAGAGTGCTGAAATACTTGAAGGGAACATCTAAACATCAACTATATCTTGACGGGAAGTGCAAAGATATATTTTATGACGTGTAGAATGATGCATCAATTGCGAGCCAAATAAAGGATCGGAAAGGTATTACTCGATATTTGATCCGAATGGCTGGAATATGTATATCACGGGCAAGCTGTAATCAAGTGTGTGTGTCGTTATCAACTGTTCAAGCATAGTTGACAGCCTTAAGTAAATGAGTGAAGGAATGTGAATTGATCTTCATGCTGCTAAAGAAATGGGATTTCACGTGAAAATACCGATCACTATCTGGACAGATAGCCAGACAGCTATCGATATTGTGAAAAATCCATCAAATCACAAAGTTACAAAACACATTGAAATTCGTCACCTGTTTACACGTCACTTATCAGAAAAGGGAAAAATCAAGTTGAGGTTCTGCCCATCCAAAGAAATGGTTGCAGATATCCTGACCAACAATTTGAAATGTTTCGATACCTCATGGGAGTTCGAGACCTTAGTGTGGTCTGGGCCAATACAGAGGAAAATGTCCTGTTTCAGTGGAGTTAGCTGCGTCATGACATATAAAGTGGGAGTGCTGAGTATAAGTCTTATTTCAAAATTATCCGTACATTAGTCTGCATGAGTCCCATACAACGTTTCATACTTATTTACAAAGTAAGGCATCAGTAGTGTTGCTTGCATTAGGTCACGACATTGGAATGAGCGGCCAGCATCGTCTGTATACGTCTCTTCACCTCCCGACCAGGATTACCTAAATAGGTATTTTCTAACAGGGGAGGGAGTCGGATGTGGGCGTGTCGTTCCTGACGACAAGCTACTCCCTCATTGCGAGGCACTCCTACTTTCCACTTAATGAAACGGTGGTTGAAATTGCTTTCTTCACCTCCCCAACAGGATTACCTAAATAGGTATTTTCTAAGAGGGGAGGGAGTCGGATGTGGGCTAT